TCCATCCACTCCAAAAATATAAAAACCTAGGAATGGATGAAGTAGTACTGTGAATCTGAACAGGCAGTCAATTTGGATTCGTAGTACTAGAAAATTTCTCATCCGATTATAGATTCTTATATTTTGGGATAGAGTGAGAGTGAGTAAGTTACAACTCGATAAACCCTAAAACGATAAATACGAACAAAACAATTTATAATTAGAACTTTTATATGTGTGTTATGCACGACTTAAAAACCAATGCTACAAAATCAACTTAAAAATTAAGTTTTAAGTTTTAAAGTTAAAAATCTTGGCTGCGGCTCAATTTGCCGGCAAAATTACACTGTATTACAGACCGTTAGTAACGTACAACGTGCCGGCCAAACTCGAAAAATAATAATAATTCCACCAAATAAAAAAATAAAAATAAAAATAAAATAAATACAGTGAGGTCCAAGAAGCCTCCATGGCCATGGATCTCACCTCCTCCTCCTCCATCTCCCTCTCCTAGCCAAGAACTCCTCCTCCCCTCCCCCAGCATTGCCGTGGGATGTGGCGGCGGCGGCGGCGGAGTTGAGGCGATCAACAATGGCTGCGGCGATGGCGGAGTCGGATAATAACGGCAGCGAGGTCAGCCCCGGCGGCGGCGGGAGGGACTCGGCGTCGGCGGCGGCGGCGGTAGCTTCGCCGGTGAAGGCGAAGGCGAGGGCGTTGCTGGAGCTGGAGACGGCCAGCGCGGCGGCGGCGGCGTCGGAGTCGTCGGAGGCGAGGGTCGACGACGGCAACATCCAGGAGGCCGAGTCGTCGCTCCGCGAGGGCCTCTCCCTCAACTACGAGGTCCGCTCTCGAAATCGAATTCGAATTCGAAATTTCGAATCGAATCGAAATCCCTCCCTGTCGCGCTCGTCTCGCTCGCTCTTTGGATTCTTGGTTCGTTCGATCTCCGAGAGGTGGAATCGCGTTCCTCCTGGGTGGGGGGCGAGGTGGTGGAATGGCAGGATTCGAATCTTTCGGTCAATGGCGTAGCTATCTGATGTTGTTGGTTGTTGCGTTTGGGGGGAGATCGGGATGCAACGAATGATATTCGCGCGATGTTCCTGGATAAATTTCTCGCGTTTCGCGATCGTTTCGGGATTGAGGGTTGATTAGATGAGACTATGTGGAAGGGTGTGGTATATCCATTTTGATTTGACAATATGGAGTTGGTTTGGTTGAATTTAGGAGCATTTTGATCTAATAATGAGGAAATTATGTCCGGAGAAAAAGATGATTTTGTTTTGGGGGAAATTTAGGGTGTAATCTTTGTGGAGATGGTGGTTCTGTGTGCCCTAGCTTTTGAATGTTGGGTGGAGACTTAGCTATGTTAATCTTCTTAGAAGAAATATTGATATTGATTTCTTGAGAGCGTGCAATGAAGGGATAGCTGTGGAAAAGAAAGAAAGCTTTCTTTTGTGGAGAACATCGTTTGCGGATGGCGCAACCGTATGATCATGGTTCTGTTAATGGGTTGTTGTGATACAGGAGGAATTTCAGAGCTGGAATCCATTCTGACACTAACAAATAACATCAAGGGGTTCGATTTAAATTCAGAAGAGATTTACAGTGTAGACATTTTGTGGATTGAATGCAAAAATGATCATCTTCCAGTGTTTAGTTCATCTAAGTAGTCACCTGTTCTTTGTATAATCTTTGTTGGGAGCAAAAAGATGCCATTTCATTTTCTATATTAAGACCTACAAGCTTGTGCTTATTTCAGAATGTATTGTTAACACAACTTCCTTTTTAGTGAAATTTCTGGAAGAGATTCAATCAGACATGGTTCTTCTGTATCTTAGATAAAAATAGGATCTTGACATATATCTTGGTTGGCATTGGCAATGATGGTTGTCCACTATGATTAGAAGCAAAAAAAGAATAACCGAAACTTTTTTTCAGTGGCTCTCGTAAGTTTTATTTTTATTATTATTATCTTTGCTTACTCTGGGTTTTTTTATTTTTTATGCTTTCAATTCTAGGAAGCGAGGGCTCTCCTAGGGAGACTGGAATACCAGAGAGGCAATGTAGAAGCTGCACTGCGAGTATTTGATGGGATAGATCTTCAAGCTGCTATCCAGCGCTTTCAACCATCGCTTTCAGAAAAGCCACCCTCAAAACGAAGTAACAAATTACGTTCAGATTCATCGAATTCAGGATCGCAGCATGCTGCCAGTCTTGTTCTTGAAGCCATTTACTTGAAGTCAATGTCTCTTCAGAAGTTAGGGAAAGCAGTGGGTATGAAGTGCTAAATTTCACTACATAATCATTTCTCTCCATGCATATCATAACTTTTGAAACCATTTACTTGCAGAGGCTGCTCAACAGTGTAGAAGTGTCCTTGATGCTGTTGAAAGTATTTTCCAACGTGGCATACCCGATGTCATGGTTGAACAAAAGCTTCAGGAAACCGTTAGTAAATCTGTCGAGCTTCTCCCAGAACTTTGGAAGCAAGCTGGAGCCTATCAAGAGGCGCTCGCTTCTTACCGGCGTGCTCTTCTTAGTCAGTGGAATCTCGATGATGACTGCTGCACAAGGATTCAGAAGAGATTTGCTGTTTTTCTGTTGTATGGTGGCGTAGAGGCTAGCCCCCCAAGCTTGGCTTCACAAACTGAAGGATCATATGTTCCTAAGAATAACTTGGAAGAGGCAATCCTTTTGCTCATGATAATATTGAAAAAGTGGTACCTTGGGAAGACTCACTGGGATCCATCAGTGATGGAGCATCTAACATTTGCATTGTCACTTTGTGGTCAGACATCTGTTCTTGCCAAGCATCTTGAAGAGGTTTTACCTGGAATATACCCTCGAACTGGAAGATGGTATAGTCTAGCTCTTTGCAATTATGCAGCTTCACATAATGAAGCTGCATTAAATTTGTTAAGGAAGTTGTTGAATAAGAACGAGAGTCCTGGTGACATAATGGCCCTCCTGTTAGCTGCTAAGTTATGCAGCTCAGATTATTCTCTTGCTTCTGAAGGAGTAGAGTATGCAAGAAGAGCTGTTACAAATGTTGATTCATCAGATGGTCATTTAAAGAGCGCTGCGCTCCACTTCTTGGGGAGTTGCCTGGCTAAGAAGTCTAGAATCGCTACATCTGATCACCAAAGATCTCTCTTGCAGACTGAGTCTTTGAAGTCACTTAGTGAAGCGATTTCTCTTGATCGTCACAACCCAGATTTAATATATGACATGGGTATTGAATATGCTGAGCAACGAAACATGCAGGCTGCTTTGAAATGTGCAAAGGAGTTCATTGATGCAACTGGTGGGTCTGTTTCTAAAGGTTGGAGATTGCTATCTTTGGTTCTTTCTGCACAACAAAGGTATTCAGAAGCAGAGGTGGTGACTGATGCTGCATTAGATGAAACTACAAAGTGGGAACAAGGGCCATTACTTAGAATAAAGGCTAAACTGAAGGTTGCTCAATCGTTGCCAATGGAAGCAGTTGAAGCATACCGTGCCCTTCTTGCTCTTGTTCAGGCACAACGAAAGGCTTATGGTACCGTAAAAAATGGCACAGAGGTTTGTCTCCTGTTAGCATTTAGTTCCTCACAAGTACTGTGTACTTTAGAGTGAACTAGTACGATTTCTTTGAACCATGTGGATACTGAGATTCTCCAGATATGAAACCCTTATCTTTTGCAGTTAGTTGGCTAGCATAAGAGTCTGATATTCTCCAGATGAAAAACTCTTTCTGCGAACATAACAACTTCAACCTACAAACTGCCTCTTGTGATTTGACAGTACTTTTCATCAATATGTCTTGTCTGCTTTGCCGTCTCATTCTGTGTGAAATTCTTTCAGGAGGTTGATAATAAAGTGAGCGAGTTTGAAGTTTGGCAAGGTCTTGCCAACTTGTATGCTAGTCTTTCCTATTGGAGAGACGCCGAGATATGTTTACAGAAGGCTAAAGCCCTCAAATCATTCTCGGCCATAACGCTTCATGCAGAAGGTGAGGAACTGTCTCAATATGCTGAAATGCTCTGTCTACTTCCTTTTGGAATTTTCATGCAATGTAGGCTAAGCATTTACAAACTGAGAAGTTGGAAAACCATCTCCTCACCTTATTTCCCTCGTATATCCTGTTGTCATTGTGACTCCCTTATTTCCATCCAGGTTACACGCGTGAGGTGCGTGAGCAGACACAGGACGCACTGGCTGCATACTTCAATGCGGTCTCGACCGAGGTGGAGCACGTACCATCAAAGGTATCCATCGGCGCCCTCCTGTCCAAACAAGGCCCCAAGTATCTCCCCGTCGCAAGGAGCTTCCTCTCGGACGCCCTAAGGCACGAGCCGACGAACCGGATGGCATGGTTCTACCTAGGGAAGGTCCACAAGCATGATGGCAGGCTAGCTGATGCTGCTGACTGCTTCCAGGCAGCCTCAATGCTTGAGGAATCAGACCCAATAGAAAGCTTCAGATCACTCTGATGGCTCATCATCTTACTGCAGCAACATTGAGGTTTTCTTTTTTCGCGGGTTAATTTTTCTTCTCTCCTCTTCTTCTCCTCCTACCTTTTTTTGGTACATAGCTGGGTGGAATCTGGATACCAGCTACATGTAACTTTTGTATCCGTAGGTGCCAGCGTGCTCGTCACGCTGTTGTCGGATATTTTGACAAAATGATGTAATTTGGCTGCTAAATGGTAATAGCCGTATATATAAGTTGCACTAGAACTGTCGTACTGTACTGTTGATTTTTACAGATATTAGTATTGAATATAATCCATTGCTATGTAATGATCCGTCGTGGTTCTGACATCGCCGGTGGACCAGGGGAGCTCGCCGCCGGTCAGGTTGCTTCCGCCGTCCTCTCTCCACGACGGCGGTGGCAAATTTCTACTCCACAATGTTAGTCATTTTAGTATTTCCCATATTCATATTGATGTTAATGAATCTAGACATATATATTTATCTAGATTCATTAACATCAATATGAATGTGAGAAATGCTAGAATGACTTACATTGTGAAACGTAGGAAGTAGAATGTGCAATTTTATTTCCTTGAGTTGCAGCAAATGTTTGTGTAAATTTTGTACATAAAAATCAAGTAATTTTAGCTTCTATTAAATACAAAAAAAGAACAAAAAATAACTCTTCTGTAGTATTTGTAGCTGTTATTCCATCTTTGAACAAAATTAATTATAAGGGTTAATCATCCTACTAGGGAGAAAAAAAAAAGATTGCTTCTGATGTGTCATCAGCATAAACTTTTTTCTTTGGAACTGATGGCAAGAGACTGAACTTCAACAGCTTGTTTGGGTGCCCTCTTCTCCCATGTCTTTCTCCTTCTGTTCCTCCACCATATTTTCCTCATCCCATGTTCGAATTTCGACCGTGGGGCGGTAAGGAAGGAGATCAGCTGTCTTCCTGATGGTCTCCTCCAATGACTCCACCTGCCGAATCGTCGCGCCGCTGCAGATGATCTCAACAACAAGCAGCCTAAGGGAAGAGAGGTGATGGATGCCAAATTCAAGGGCAGTGGCAGCATGGAATGGAAGATGCAGCTTCTCAAGCTTTGCCATACAGCCTTCTTGAAACATCAACCCTGACTCAATGCTCCAGCAGGTGAAGTAGAGTTCCTTCAGGCACATGAACATGTTGCTGTTTATGATGAGTCTTTGTTTTGGATCAGCCGATTTCGACGTCAGCCAGAGAAACAGCAATGCGGGTAAGTTTCCGAGGATCTCCAATACTTCCTCTTTTACTGGATTAAGATTGATATCTAGGTAGGTGAGGTTTTCAAGTGATGCAATCCAAACTGGGATTCTTGGGAAGTAGTAGCACATGCCCATCTGAAACTTCTGGAGGAGATGTGGTGTGGGGAGCCAAGAATCCAGCAAGAAATCTATGGAGTACTTGAAACTACTCTGAATGCATAGAGATCGAAGGTTGAGTCTGCCCAGCTTGCGGAGCGATGAAACCAAGTTATTGACCAAAGTTTTAGTCCCACCATGAATATCAGAAATACACCAGCATAGCCCAAGAATCTTCAGTTTGGTCAGATTGCCCAGCTCCTGCAAAGAAGACGCCGAACTGTTCCTGCTAATTTTGATCTCTGATACCTCCTGAAGAGCTCGCATGCACCCAATACCTTCAGGTAACTCCAGATTATTGATACGCAAACACGTCAAATTTTGCAGCCGAACAATGCTTTTGGGTGATTTTCTAAGTTTCGTCGATACCAGATCAAGAGTCTGCAGATGCTGTAGTTCTCCGAGTTGTTCAGGGAGTGCATCAATACTTCTTACATTCAGTCTCAGGTACTTCAACTGAGAAAGCCTCCTCACATGCTCCAGATAATTGCTGTCCATATCCTCACCATGTTCTATATCAAGTACTCGCAGAACTCTAAACTCTGAAAGAGAAGGCATTTCTTCGGCATACCCAAAGATACTGAGTGACCGACAACTGGAAATGATCGCTGTTGACGGAACCATGACATTCTCTTGGGAGTAATAGCTGAGAGAGAGCCGGCGAACCTTGCCTTGCAGCACTAATTTCTGGTTTTGTTCACCAAGGAAAGTGGCAAAGTTTTCCTTTATTGACTTGGACATAAGGAGATCAAGAATCATATCATGGATTCGGCATGAATCAACCTGGCCATCATATCGAACTTTCACTGGCTGAATCATGCTTCTGCTGATAAGATCATTAAGATACGACTCGCCTATTTTCTCCAAATCTTGTCCACTTCCTGTATTAATGAACCCTTCGGCGATCCATCTCTTTACCAGCTGGTCTCTCTCAATCTCACAGTCTTCTGGAAATATGCATAGATATAGTAGACATGTCTTCAAATGGTGAGGAAGATCATCATAGCTAAGGGATAATATCCTCTGCATCTCTTCGACACTTGGATCTTTTTCCAGTGTCGAACCAATTGAATTATGTACCCTCTCCCATTCTTCTTTTGTACTAGCTTTATTAGTCAATAAGCTAGCTATGGTAATAATCGCCAATGGAGATCCACTACATTTTTTCAATATTTTACAGGAGATTTCTTCCAATTGGGGAGGGCATATATCTTCTGTGCCAAATATTCGTTTCAAAAATAAACTCATTGCATTGGCTGTACTGAGAGGCATTATTTCATAGACATGATCATGTTGAGGAGAGCAACATGACTTGGCTATAGTAACACTCCGTGTTGTAGTTATTATTCTGCTTCCAAGATTATTCATAAGCAAAGCGCATTTGATAGTCTTCCATGCTTGAATACTCCAGATATCATCAATGACAATGAAGTACCTGCCATATGAAATTACAATTGCACTCCTTTAAATGTATATGAATTATGAAATGTTACAAAATATGAAAATGGTCACATCAGTGCTAAATGTTAAATAACTAAAAAAGGACAATACTTCTGTGCTGCACAAACTCCAAAGTCTTATCTAATTCTGTTAACAGAAAACAGAGGCACCTCACTTCTGATTTGGTTGTAGAAACAAGTGAAAATTTGTATTTATGTAGTGGTAGCAATTAATTTATAGCAAGCTCTTAAATGCCTCTAAAGCACAATTACAAGAAAGTGTATGTTTTGCATATTTCTAGATGCACAAAATCACCATTATGGTATACATTTGATTCATCAGAAAATAGGAGATGTTTAATACAATACTTATCTACATACAACCAGTAAACCAAACCATCTGATAAAGAGACAAGGATATTGGCCAAAATATGATGCACTATCAAATAGAGAGAACCATGTAATGTACCTCTTGTCCTTTAGGAATCCTCTGATTGCATCGATAAGATTTTCCTCATCCCATACACTTGTGCTATCATACACTTGCTGACTAACTTGGCAGAATATGTTTCTCAGAATCCTTTTTACGTCAGGCTGCTGGGACAGAGAAACAAAAGCTCGACACTGGAACTGGCCTTCCAGTCTACGGTACACCTCATTCGCAAGTGTAGTTTTACCCAGACCACCAGGACCCACGATGGATATCACCTTCAGCTGCTGAAACGATGCATCGTCTCCCTCCATTATCAACTTGACAAGCACAGCTCTCGGCGTCTCAATACCAACAAGCCCGTCTGACTCAGCATACAGCGAAGGCAAACGGGGGTCAATTGCCCTCGCGATGCTAGGCTCAAAGATACGATCGTCAAGCTTATACCTCATCCGCCGCTTGCTTGCATCTTCGACTCGTCCCTTGAGCTCTTGGATTTGGCTGGCGATTTGACGGCGCACCTTGAGCACCTTGAGTTGTTGGGCCACCCTTTGGACAGGCCCTGCAGCCTCAGCTATGCCAATGTGGCCAAGGCGATGTGTGAAACCGTCGATACAATCCTCGATGTCATAAGACATCTCCCGTACTTGGTTTCTCCACTCCTCCGTTTGCACATCGAGGTCAGAGTCTACCTCTGCCAGCCTATGAAGGAGAGCATTCATGCTGCTCAGCTCATCTTTCATAAACTCCACCTCCCTCTGTAATCCTTTCAGCTTTGCGTACTCCTCCCCAAGAAGTGCACTGAGCTTGATGATGACTGAGGTCATCGCCCCTGTCAAGGCACTTGCCATCTGTTGGAATTTCAATCAGTTTAGTATAACTCACATCAGAATGATTGAAAAATACCCCAGGAAGTAGCACTTGTATGCATGACCATAACAAAATTACAGGAGAGATAGATAAGAATGGAGATCTACAATTACGCATTTACTACCATCGAGGGTATGAAATATTAATAAAAAAATACATACCTCAATTGTGCTATTACCTTGTTCTACCAAGCCAGAAATGATTGCAGAATTTATCCTTCAGGAAAAAAGTAAAGATGGAAGCGTCTGGTCAGTTGGCTTGTGCCATATGCACCACGGAGATATGTTTTATGGCCTGCTGTTCTGTTATGCTATTCTTAATGAATAGCATGGGGCGTATTCAGTGATATTAGCATATGCAACTTTGTTTTTGCCTTTTTGGTGGAGTTCAATTTCTGCCCTGGAAATTTCGGTCCCTCGGTGAACTGTGATATAAATTTTTCATTTGATTGACACCTTAAGAGAGATGTTAGATGGGTGATCAAATCTAGCATCATGGACTATACCTCACCACCCAGATCAATGATCCTTGTGTTTTGAGGAGCACAAGACAAGGAATCACCTAATGGTTTCTTAACTGGCCTAGATGGCCTCGTCATAACGCTGAAATGATGCAATAATTGTCTAATGAAGTCAACTCTACAAGAAAACAGGAGGGGGGTCAACTTCACTAATTATCTTGACAATGTGGATCCTCTTGGAAGCATCACAATTATTGTGTTTCCAAAGGAGTTCAGCTGAGAGTGAATCAGGCACTGTCGAAGTGTAGCCCTACGCTTTCTGTGTTCCCTTGTTTTTTTGTTTTTCCTTTCAGCTAAAGTTTGTAAAGTTTTAAAACTTCCCCTCTCTTAATACAAATGATACACAAGGCTTTTGCGTATTCTCAAATCAGGCACTGTCCAAGTGTTCAGTGTCGACCATCGCCATTGGATGTTGTGGATCAAAGTTTTTAGAGGAAATGTTATCATCAGTTGTTTTTTTTTTATCAAACCATGGGATGTGATCCTTTTAATTATTTTCTAGTGCAGCAATTAAACGTAGCTTATCTTAGTGAAAAAAGTTATGAAACCCACATGTGCTACAAACCCAATAGTGTTCAGAGTTTACTGTGCTACAAACCCACATGATCCAGCAGTATAATTAATTAAGCACCCCAAAAAAGAAAAGAAAATCCTCCTGCACTATGCTAAAATGAGTCAACTAAATATGCAAGTTAAAAATTGCATCCACAGGCATTGTTGAATATCGTTGAAACAGTCTAGACTAAGTAAGGTAAGGTGTGCCCCGTTAAGACAAATCTAATTTCAGTAAATTTAAATTGAGATAACAGCACTGCACATTTCAATAATTTTCCATTGAGGCAAACAACATAAAGTACTCCCTCCGTTTCGAAATGTTTGACGCCGTTGATTTTTTATCATATGTTTGACCGTTCGTCTTATTCAAAAAATTTAAGTAATTATTAATTCTTTTCCTATCATTTGATTCATTGTTAAATATATTTTTATGTAGGCATATAATTTTACATATCTCACAAAAGTTTTTGAATAAGACGAATGGTCAAACATGTGCTAAAAAGTCAACGGTGTCAAATATTTAGAAACGGAGGGAGTACTAAACACATACTAAGGGGAAAAAAAACAGAAATTTCCATTGTGACCAAGGAACCTCACCTCACCTCCTAGACTAGCCAAGCAACCTCTAGATCCAGTGAGCACGCGCCAATGGGTCCCGGCGAAAGCGGCCGTCGATCTCCAAGCGCAGCCGCCGGCGACGGTGGCGAGGGAGCGAGGAGGTGGCCGTCGTTTGGGCGGCGGCGGCGGTGGGAAGCGGCGCGCATGGAGGAGGAGGTGAGGATTTTTTTTTTTTTTGAAGGATTTCTTGGCCACCTTGCAGCTGGAACTGAGTGGAGTGGGTTAGCAGCAAAGTCAACTGCCGCCGTTGCAGACTGGCCCCACATCGCAGCTAGCTTTGACTTTGACTTCCTTCTCAAGATAATCCTACTACTGAACGGCTTGTCTTTTCGCTTATGCTTATACTTATCAGACAAAATTTAAATTTTCAACTTTAAATTTGGAGCTGATTTTGATGCTTTCATCGAAATTTATATTTGCAGTATTTGCTTTTAGATGGCTAGGAACATGTATATAAAAGTTTTATTCACAAATTACTTTTTGTTTGAAAATATGTCGAATAAGCGAAATGATGGATCCGTAACTCTCTTTCATATTAGAAGTCGTTTTAGGCTTTTTTAATATGTTCAATGTAGACGTAATGAAACTAATTTAGTGCTATAAGTGTTGTTGTTGTTCAATGTAGACGTAATGAAACTAATATGTTCAATTAACTTAAAAGAAGTCAAAGTTACTTATAATATGAAACGGAAGTAGTACCCATACATATCTTTTCTGAATAATTGGAAAAAAAAACATTTTCGGCTTGTGCACAATGTGCAGACACCTTAGTTGCTCATACACACGTCATCCAAATGATATGGTTTTGGTAAAAACTTTCGATATATATCATTTTTTTAAAAAAATTATTGTAAATCAATTTCTGAACTTTATAATCCCTCCCTTTCATATTACAAATTGTTTTGACTTTTTCCTAGTTAAACTTTTTTTTAGTTTGACTAAATTTATAGAAAAATTTTGCAACATCTATCCCACCAAATTAGTTTTATTGAATATATTTTAATAGTATGCTTGTTTAGTATTGGAAATGTTATTATATTTTTTTATAAGCTTGGTCGAACTTAAAAATATTTGATAAAAAATAAAGCAAATTATAATATGAAATGGAGCAAGTAATATATTAAAATAATTCCTTGTATTATTTTTATTATATAAAGTAATTGATGAACTAACACCCAAGTGATATACAGTACTCCTTCCGTTTCACAATGTAAGTTATTCTAGTATTTCACACATTCATTCTAGTATTTCACACATTGTGAAACGGTGGGAGTACATTCCAGTTTGTTTGGGAACCACACGTTCCATGGAATTGTCACCGAGGCTAAGAAGAAATTAACTTTTCTAATTTATATGCATGCAATGAGTTGGTCTTCATTCAAATCTTAGATGCATGAGATTACGGGCCTGTTCACTTTGATGCTATTTTCAACCATACTATTTTTGGTAAAGTTGCCAAAAAATGTCTATATTTAGTTTGTTGCCAAATTTGATCAATACATAAGAAATCTTGCCAAAATTTTATTATTGCTAAAACTTGGTAAGGTTTATTTTGACTACAATCTGAACAGGCCCTACAAATACACGCATTTCATTTGAAAAAAAGAAAAAAAAACAGAAAATGAAATACGTAGGGACTTTTGGATGGAGGGAGTATACAATTAAGCATCCTATCTAAAAAAACAATTAAGCATCCTATGAGTGGTAAATTCTTTGGAAAATAAAAGAGAAACGAAATGTGTTGTATACATATACTAATAATAACAAAATTAGTATACATAATACTGACAAAATTTATGGTGCAAAATATACAACGAATGGAAGGAGCTCCAGCCTCAGCTGTAGGTTTTAGATCTCCCGCTATAACTACCGCTATCTCCAGCTATAGCTATAGCTGTTTGAAAAGACTAATCACTAAATGTCTTAGCCCGCTATTTAGGCCCTGTTTGGCACAGCTCCAGCTCCCAACTCCAACTTACCTAGAGCTGGAGCTGTGCCAAACGGTACAAATTCTCTGTTTTTTGGAGCGGAGTTGGCAAAGCAGCTCCATAAATTTATACTACGGGGGTGGAGCTGGGTTTTTACTGCTCCAGAGCTCCACTCCACCCCAAAAGACCCACTACCCTTTAAAATTTTGATGTATTTACACAGAAATGCCATTGAACTACCCCTAAACTCCTCCTCCCATCCTCTCTCTCCTCTCCAATCTTCTTCGGCAAGATTCGGCGGCAACCGACGGCGGGCGGGCTGGCGGCGGCGGCGGCGGGCGGGCTGGCGGCGGCGGCGCACGGGCTCGGCGGCGGCGTGCGGGCTCGGCGGCGGCGCGGGGGCTGGCGGCGGCGCGGGGGCTAGCCGGCGGCGCGCGGGCTGGCGGCGGCGCACAGGCTCGGCGGTGGCGCAGGGGCTGGCCGGCTGGCGGCAGCGCGCGGCCTGGCGGCGGGGATTCCTTTTTTTTTTCTTTTTTTTTCTTTTTTTTTTTCAGATCTGGAGCTAAAAGTTTGCCAAACACTTTTGATCGGTCTGTAACTCCAATAGGAGCTAGCTTCAACTGGAGTAGGAGTTTGGAGCTGGGAGTTGGAGTTTGGAGCCGTACCAAACGGGGCCTTAAAATACTGCTCAGCTGCCTTCACTGGTAGCAAAGTCATGCTGGTTTTTTAGCTGTTTGTTTGGATCTTCTCTTCAGCCATGATTTGCACCTCCTCCTTCACCATCTTTTCTTCATCCCAAGTTCGAACTTCAACTGCTGGGTGGCATGGAAGGAGATCAGCTGAGTGCCTAATGGCATCTTCCAGTGCCTCCACCTCCCGAAGCGTCGCACCGCCACAGACGATCTCGACGATGAGATGCCTGAGGGAAGCCAGGTGCTGGATGCCGAAATCAAGAACACTGCCACCGGCGTCGAACGAAACCCGCAGCATCTCAACCTTTGCCATTGCCCCAGCTTCAAACATCAGCCCTTCCCAATTTCTCCAGCAGGTGAAGTGGAACTCCTTCAGGCATACAAACATGTTACTTCTTATGACGAGCCTTTCATTGGGACCTGCTTCTTTTGATATCAGCCACAGAAATATCAGAACAGGTAAATCCCCAAGAATCTGTATCACTTTCTCATCCACCAGGTCTATGTTGATTTCTAAGCAAGTGAGGTTGTCAAGTGATGCGATCCAGGATGGGACTCTGGGGAAATGATAGTTCATGCCCATCGCAAATGATTGGAGGAGATGAGGGGAGGGGAACCATGAATCCAACAAGAACTCTATGGAACACGCATAATAACCCAGGATGCACATTATTCGAAGGTTGAGTCTGCCCAGTTTGCGAAGCGATGACACTAAATTATCGGCGAAAACTTTGTAGTCAATGTGTGCTTCGTCAGATTTCTTAGCTCCAACAAGGAAGATGCCAAGCAGTCCTGGCTGATTCTGATCTCTGTTAGCTCCTGCAGAGCATGCAGATGTCCAATTCCTTCAGGCAAATCCAGATTATTGACACGCAAATATGTCAAATTTTGCAGACGAACGAAGCTCTCTGGCAATTTTCTTATGTTTGTCCGTCTGAGATCAAGAGTCTGCAAATGTTGTAGCTCTCCAAGTTTTTCAGGAAGTTCAGCTACGCTTCTTACATTCAGTCGCAGGTACTTCAACTGAATCAGCTTCCTTATGTGTTTGGTATAGCTGCTTTCCATATCTTCACCATTTTCTATATCAAGTACACGAAGAACTGGAAACATTGAAAGAGGAGGCTTCTGTTCAGCATACCCAAAAATACTGAGAGATCGGCAATGTGTGATGATTGCTGTTGATGGAACCATGATGTGATCTTGAGTGTAATAGTTGAGAGAGAGCCGACGAACCTTACCCTGTAGCACTAATTTCTGATTTTGGCCACCCATGAAGGTGGCAAAATTTTCTTCAGTTGACTTGCATGTAAGGAGATCAAGAATCATATCATGGACTCGGCAGGAAAAAACTCGACCATTGTATTGGATTTTCACCGGTTCAATCATGCTTCTATTGATAAGATCACTAAAATAACAGTCTCCTATTTCCTTCAAGTCATGCCCCCCCTCTGTAATAATGAATCCTTCAGCAACCCACCTCTCTACTAGTCGATCCCTCTCAATCTCATAATCTTCTGGAAATATGCTTAGATACAGTAAGCATGTCTTCAAATGTTGGGGAAGATCATCATAGCTCAAGGATAATATCCTTCTCATCTCTTCTACATCAGGATCTTTTTGCAGTGTTGAACCGATAGAATTACGCACCCTTTCCCATTCTTCCTTGGTATTAGCTTTATTAGCCAATAAGCTAGCTATTGTAATAATAGCCAATGGCGACCCGCCACATTTTTTCAATATTTCATAACAAACCTCATCCAATTGAGGAATGCACACATCCTTTGAGCCAAATATTCGTTTCAAAAACAAACTCTTCGAGTTATCTATACTAAGAGGCATTATTTCAAAGACACGATCATGGTCAGGAGTGCAACATGACTTGGCTATTGCCATATTGCGTGTTGTCGTCATTATTCTGCTTCCACAATTATTCACAAATAAAGCACATCTTATGGTCTTCCATGCTTGAGTACTCCATATATCATCAATGACGACAAAGTACCTATGTGCAATGCAAGTTCATACTTTTAGACCTCTTATAAAGTAGGACGAGTTAGAAAAATCAAAATGGCATAAGGTCCACAAATACTCCCTCCGCCCCAAAATATAGCTACCTTTCTAGTTCAAACTAGGAAGTAATAGATATGTACTTTATTCTTGCAAAAAAAAAAAGATACATACAGTAACAAGAAAAAGGAAATTGATTTTATGGCCCACAAACAGTGGCCATATAAATTGAGATGAAAGCAACTGATCATTGCAACCGTTTTCCATGAGATACAAAAGCACTTCTTGCACTATATAACAGCTGACACAAATAGTCATTATTACCTATGGCTTGGCCACTAAAACAACTGACAATATGAAACTTTTGTAGTGAGTCACCCTGTCACAGTCGATCCAATCTTTCTAATGGAATATTATTGGAATATGGAACTACTAATAGATACTACCTCTGCCCCAAAAATATAGCAACTTTTAGTTACTTGTCCAGATTCATAGCCAAAAAGTTGCGATATTTTAGGACGGGGGTAGTACTTATGTTTAGAATTTGCGCATTTTGTTTTCTTGAAAAGAATGCAGGAGAGCTGCATTCTGTACAATAGTGAGAATAAAAACTACAGAAACTACCCATGAAAACATACCGATAATGTGCATTTTCTAGAAGCACAAACGGCATCCTTATACATTTAACTTAAAGCAATCAATTGGATAAATAATCAACATAAATATCTGTGTTATCTAAAAACATGCATATTTGTATTTTAGCAGATATTGTGAATGTTGGTCAAAAGGTGATGCATGACCTACAGCGAAGATATCTTTGAAACTAAGTAATGAGCATACCTCTTGTTCGTTAGGAATTCTCGGGTTGCGTTTATCAGCTTTTCCTCATCCCATATATCTATGTTACCATACTCCTGCTGGCTGACTTGACAGTATATGTTTCTTACAATCTTCTTCACATCAGGCTGCTGTGACAGAGAAACAAAAGCTCGACACTGGAACTGGCTCTCTAGTTTGCGAAACACCTCATTCGCAAGTGTAGTTTTACCTAGACCTCCAGGACCCACAATGGATATCACCTTTAGCTTCTGCGATGATGCACCCTCTCCCTCCGTTAGCAACTTGATAACCACATCCCTTGGTTGTTCAATTCCAACAAGCCCGTCTGACTCAGCATATAGAGAAGGTAACCGGGGGTCAATGGCCCCTGCAGTACTAAGATTGAAGGTGCGCTCATCAAGCTTATACCTCAATCGCCGCTTGCTTGCATCTTCAACGCGTGCTTTGAGCTTCTCGATTTGGTTGGCAATTTGGTGGCGCACCCTCAGAGTCTTAAGGTGTTGGGCCATCCTATGGACAAGCCCTGCAGACTCAGCAATGTCAGTATGGCCAAGGTGATGCATGAAGTCATCGATACAGTCCTCAATGTCATAATACATTTCGCGCACTTGGTTACGCCACTCCTTCGTTTGCACATCAAGGTGTTGGTCCTCCTCCGCCAGCCTATGAAGGAGAGCATTCATGCTGCTCAGCTCATCTATCATAAACTCCACCTCCCCCTGTACTCCTTTCAACTTCATGTACTCCTTCCCAAGAAGAGCAGTGAGCTTGTTGATGACGGATGTCATCACTCCCGTCAAGGCACTTGCCATCTGTTGGAAAGTTTTGACTGCCTCAGCAACGTTTCCAATTTCATAGAACTAAACATCAGCATGATTAAAAGAAAGCATGGTACAGGAATCGTATGCATTACCACAATAAGAGCTAGATAATAATGGACATCCACAATTACACATTTTACCATCAAGAGTATAAAATAACAAAAGCATTCATAAATAACCTTTGTATCTACCACTAGACCATTGGAAATGATTGCAGAATTTAGCCTTCAGGAAAGAAGATGAACTAAGATTTGGTTTAAGGACAGCTGCACTCAGGAGATATGTCTGCTGTTAAGTTATCCTCTTAGTAATGACCAGAAGAGGGACATGCTTTTTCCCAAGAAAGGTGATAAAACAGAAAGCACAATTAGCAGAATCTGGTGGACTGGTGCCTATTTAGGGAGATTGGCATATGCAGCTTTGTTTCCCTGTGGAGTTCACTTTCCACAATTCACCTTATATGTTACTACTGTATATATATTGTGGTCACTCTGTCATGTGATCTGCAGCTTCGGAGGGAGGCTAGATGGATATGAAATTAGCATATACTCTATCATGTGTGTTGAGTGAGGAACATGAGATGATGAATCATCTAATGGTATTAAAATGGCCTCAAGCGCCGGTCCGGTGTGGTGGAGGTCACGTGCTACCGATGTTAAGCTGGTGGTATCAGAGTTGGCGGGCAACGGACCACGGCGACGGGGGTAGAGAGTCCCAGGCGAAAGCCTAGCCCAGTGTTTCGCTGGACCGGCAGCGGCTACGCCTTCTGGCGCGGTAACCCTCTGGGGGGCGTTGTCGAGGTACACTCCTCCCTCGACGAGGATCTCTAGGTGAAAACCTTGTCCAGTCTTTTGGACGGACAACGGCGGCATCTTTTGATGTCGCTACCTTCATGAAGGCGTTGTCTTTTTTGAGTTTCCGTTCTGTGGTGTTGTTGTAAGCATAGCGGCGACCGGCCTCGCATAGCGGTTGCCGGTTCGATGTTTGGCTCCCCTCTCTGTAGCTTGTGTTTGTGCGGTTGGCATGTGGTGTCGGGGCGTGCGCTTTGTGCACATCCTTCCTCGATAGCTTGCTGTCGATGAAAAACTTTCTTGTAACTTTTTTTTCCTCTATCTTAATGACATTGGATGACCTCCTTCGGTCATCCCAACAATTAAAATGGCCTCAAGGACCATGATCTCCCACAAGATGGTAATGGTACTTAAGAAATTAGTCAACATTATACTACTATCTCTCATTCATCCAAGTATCTAATCACCATATATGTTTTCGCAGTTCATTTCTATAAAATTTTTAATTATGTCATTTTAAAATTGTACATGATAATTGGTACAGATCAGTAAAACTCTTGATCTGAATTGTACCCCCAACCTCATCTCACCACTTAAGGTTATCATGAGATAGCCCCATTTGCTATTTTAAACTTCTGAAATCCATTCCTTACATACAACAGATAGGTAATTTACTGGTTTAAATTCAGATGGTTACAAAGAAACCCAAGAAACTGACAGAGACTACATTTTGGTCTGTTAGGAGCATTCGCATGCCAAAATATTAATAAGCACTATTAAACTTTCAGTGGTCACAGGGCAAACAACATGGATTATTAATCGTTGACAGATGGCGTTGCTGAGCTATTTTCCACTAATAAACATTACAACGAACAGGCAGAGTGCATCATGAGCAGGGGATAGTAGCTTTGCCATTGAGAGGGGGTGAGATGGTGGATGACCTGGAAGGCTGGAAGTCTACAGCCGATGGAGTTGGCGAGCCAACCTGGAGAAGTCAACGCTGCGATGTGGGCGGAGGAGGCGGCGCCTCGGCTGCCGGTGGCGGAGAAAGCGGGCGTTGCTGCTGCTGATGAAGAGGTGGTAGGAGCGGCAGTTGGACGGACCCCGCCGCCCCCCGTTGCGAGGAGCACGCGAAGAGCAGCGACGCGGCCGGCTGATGGCGGCGCCCTCAATCCGGCGGCGGCGACAGCGAGGCGACGGCCATGGCGTCGTAAGGCGGAGCTGCGGAGGGGAAGGGAGGTTTGGAGCCTTGGCGGCGGATGGGAATGGCGAACGACGACTTTTCTCGAGTCTACTCTGGATACTCTGCAAAACAAGTTTTGCGTTAAACTCCCTCGCAAGCTTGTATTGTACCCCCTCCATGGTTTATAGCACGTTTTGATTTCCATCAAATTCAAACGGCTTTAAATTTAACTAAATTTATAGATAAAATATAGTAATATTTATAATACCAAATTAGTTTCATTAAATCAATAATTTAATATATTTTTATAATAAATCTGTCTTGGGTTGAAAATGTAATTATATTTTTCTATAAACTTGATTAAACTAGAAGCAGTTTGACTTTGACCAAACTCAATATATCTTACAAGCTAAAATGGATGTAGTATTTTACAACGAGTTCCACCGCACGATCTATCACCGTAGATACGTGATTCGATATCTGCGTGCGAGGGATCAAACCCATGATTCCGTCCGTGCCACAGTGGTTAGTGGCCTCGCTAAGTGCCCTCTAATCTGCGCAAATTTTGATGGTAAGAGATTAGTAAAAAAAGTTTTAAAAATGATTAATATGATTTTTTTATAACAACTTTTTTATATTTTTTAAAAACATACCGTTTAACAGTTTGGAAAATGTCTACGTGAAAAACAAGACAATGAGGTTAGAAAAGTGTTCCAAAGAACACAACCTTAGAGTCTAAGTGTCAGGATTACGGATAATGCATATCTCCTATTCTACGACTTATGGAATACACCGATAATGTATACCTTCACGTACACGGATCGTTTCCATGTATATCGTTTGGAATTTGTTCCAAATTACGGAGAATATCTCTACGAGTCAAGCGATTTCGAAAGTCCTACTCAGAAGGGATAGAGTTTCTGTTATACTGTACCAGATCAGATATTCCCAGTCCTTACTTGGGGGTAAAGATGATACACGGTATAAAAGGGACCCCAGGGAGAGATGCAAGGCATCGAATTTCATTGCCAACACACCCACCATAGTTTACGAAGCCAGAGTACGCGAAGCCAAGTCGCCGCGAGATCTCGTCGAACTCATCGGTATCTGTTGTTTCGTCTACTTTCTTTATAATCTGTGGTTCCTCATCATCAATCTCATATAAACTAGATTATGACTATTACCTGACAAGGGGCCTGAACCAGTATAATCCTTGTCTTTTGTTTGCTTGATGTCGTACTACGTAGACCCTCGTTCCAACGTACCCCAATACTCAACTCATCCGGTGCACAAGTATGACTCGTCGACATTAAGTATCTGTTTTTGAGAATGAAACAATAGTTTCAGGTGGAAAACAAACTTCCAGAAAAGTTCAAGTACTAAAAATTGAACTTTAGCCTTTTTATAGAAATATTTTTGACAGATTTTTACAGCAATATTGGCAGGAATATGAGGAATATCAATAGTCAATATAAGATTTTCTTTATATATCATAGGCTTTTCTTTTTACCAAGGGCTTGGCAGCCCCCATTTCTTTTACTAGAAATGATCACACATCTACAAGGTCTGGAAATTTAAAAACGGCAACACAATTAAGAAGTCGACGGGACTGAGCTAAAACAGCAGTGGCTATGCATGTTACAAGAAACTGCAGACTACAACCCTCGGCTGGATAAAAAGCATCACCATGAGCTTTTGTAGGACTGTAATAACCTGAACACAGCAAAACAAATACATCGTCCTTCAATTCTTCGGGTACTAGCCCTCCATTCACGTCTTCAACTGTAGACTTCATTTGCTACTTTTATAAGCCTAGCCCCCCAATTGTAGTCTTCTTTGGCTTGCTTCCAAGTTATGCAGGATTGCTCACGATTCAACCTAAGGTGTGTTTAGTTCACGCTAAAATTAAAAGTTTGATTGAAATTGGACAGATATGACGGAAAAGTTAAAAGTTTGTGTGTGTAGGAAAGTTTTGATGTGATGAAAAATTTGAAAGTTTGAAGAAAAAGTTAGGAACTAAACTAGGCCCTAGTGGCATATGCCAAAAAGACCAAATCAATGGGAACACGTGGATATTGTTTCTCAAAGCATACTTTATTTCTAGTTTTCCAAATGGCCCAAATAACAACAGCCATTTCCACCACGATTAGTTGTTTCATACCTTTGTCAAAATTGTTTAACCACTGCCCAAAGGGATTTTGGTTGTTCCGTACTCAGAGCACAAATCACAGTATTCCATACTAGCCTTGCTGTAGGACAATAGAAAAATAAGTGTTGCACATCTTCCTCTTTGTCACAAAATTGTTACTCCTATTTTTTATCAACTTCTCCAACCTCTTTCGTATAAATTGTCAAGATCTTGTTTTTAGTAAACAACCAAATGAAGATTGACGGAGCTCGTGGCCCCTCACCGGGAGACTGCGCAAGCCCCCCTTTGCCGGTTCGACCAGGGGCTTAGGGTGCAATCCCAAGCTCTCTCTCTCTCTCTGTATGTGGAAAGATCACCCGCCCGCAAGACACACGAGACACGGCGATGTATACAGGTTCGGGCCGCTGCGAAGCGTAATACCCTACTCCTGTGTTTTTGTGGATTTGTGTATGGACAAGTTACAAAGGATTAACTTCCTTTCCCCTCAGCCTTCTCGAAGGGAAAAATCCCCTCTTTAAATGGGCAAGGTCCTCCTTTTATATCTCAAGGGGATACCACATGCACCTTTCTCTTTCCAAACTGGACTGTTCTTTTTCTCTTTAATGGGCGGAGATCGGTACGGTTTCCATCCGGGAGCCCTTCTGATGGGACAGCCCACACCTACCCCCACCTCCCCCGAAGACAGAGATGACGCGGGACCGTGGCTGTCTGTCGATGACGCGACCAGTGCCAGACCAGTCATTCTTGTCCACCACGCGTCAGCTTAACAACGTGCATGTTTGCCCTTCTTCGTGTAACACCTTGCCTGTAATGGTTAGGATGAAGCCTGGTATAAATCTGACCAGGGCTAACGTACCATCTCTAAGAGATAACACGCTAGCTCCGGCTTGAGACGAGTGCCTAGAGGCTTTCGTCTTGACGGGATGGGGCAAGGCGTGCGTCAGACCGCCAGTCGCCACCTAACCCGTGATCTGACCGGTCTGTGACTGGTCACAGACCGGATAAAGGAACGCGCTGTACTGCGTTGCATGCAGCGTGACACGCTTGACCAGACTGCAATAAATGCTGTTAGGTGAGCACAGCTGTGCTCACTTATCCCATATATGTGGCGCAGACTTCCTTAAGGGGTCGGGGTGCCTCGGCCCTCGGGGCCGGGGCAAGCGCAACCCGACCCCCCCTCGGGGGAAATCAGGAGGAGGGCGGACACCTCACCCTCGGGCCCGACGTCCCCGAAGGTGCCAGGCCACGTGGGCGATTGTGTCTGCCTCAAGCCTCTGGTCATGATACTCCCGGTCCCATATCACCGACAAAGATCTTAATTTTCAGAGGGATTTTGAACTTCTTTTTTTTTCTGTGGGAAGTTCATGTTGATTTGTATAAATTGTCCTTGGTCAATTTGTTTTCTACTATAGGCTTTTCATGTTGAGTTAGGCCATTTCAAACCCAATGACTAGGATGTTGTCCATAGCATTAAATAAGCTGCCACATATGATGAAAAATGATGTGGCAAGTGAATAAATGAGGAAAGAGAAGGAAATCATGTCTTGCATGAGACATGGTTTCTACACAACATCCAAGACATCATGTGAGTGTTTGCATTAGAAGAGTAGTGTCTAATACTAGTTTCTTGATGATGTGGAGTTTATGGAAACTATGTCTAGTGTTTTGAGTTGGGAATGGCCTTAAAAGCAGCCCATTAGTTGAAAGTAGGCCCAGCCAAAGCGAGCCAATGTGAGCGAATGATTCTTGGGCCCCACAATGTCAGCGAGGATCGTCTTCTCCCCTGCTCCCTTCTCACTCTCCCGTTCCGCTCCGGCGAGCCCTCCCTGCCGGCGATACCAGCCAGCTTAGCCCTCCCGCCCCCTTCCGCGAGACTGAACTCGCCCGGTGATTGGGCTGGCTGGCAGGATGCTGATGGCGATGGCCACTTCTACGGCGTTAATTGCTGTCTTGGAGTTGGGGATTAATTTCTTCATTGGCCGGTCGGTGGTGCGGGGTGGGCGGCGCAAAAGAAATCCCCAAGGTAATCCGCCTCGTCTTTTCGCCAATGGTGAATTTTCTTTGAATGATTCTTGACTAGCCAAGGTACTAGCAGCCCCATCGTTTGGCCTAAACAGCCAAAGAATAAGCCAAAATTTGAATTTTTAAACATGATTTTGAAGTTGATTTTGAAATGCTTTTAATGTAATTTTTGTTAATATTGGCTTTTAAGTCTCTACGAACAAATCTACAAAAGTTTTACTTATAAATTAATTTTAATTTTCTAATAAGCTAAATAAGCCATTTTAGGCAAAATGGCAACCGATGGGAGCCTAGATGATTGGATAGTAGTGGTAGCACTGCCATTCTTTCTTGTTGACATCTTGACTGACCCTGGATCTGCACATCTTATGAAAACCTCACTCTTCTTTTATCACTGTATGATGATGATTTGTAACAATTAGTACTACTTCCTTTCTTTCACCTTGACGAAATCGGCATATCTTGAGATATGCTTTGCCCAATTGTACAGCTTTTTTAGTTTTTATATGACCAAAAGTGATACAGTTTGGGAGATCACCTGCTCTTCACTCTGGTCAATAGATTTCCTGTCTACCTGAGGTCAGTCGCCTTGATGTTCCTGCATATGTATTTGTCTGAGCAAACATGTTATCGATAAATTTGTAAGTTTCACTTTCATATTTTGAGTAGAAGAATCACACAATGTATGCGCTAGCCGCCGCCCGCTGGAGCCCATGGAAGCTGATTAGCTGAGTACTCCCTCCTTCCCAAATTGATCATTATATATGTAACGGAATTCAAAATTTTTTAAATTGATCATCATATAACCGCATGGACACGGATTATTTATTTATTTTCCTATACCTATTTATTTTCCTATTTATATATTTCCGAGTTCTTCTGTTTGATATTTAGTGTGCTGGAAACCTGGGATAAGAGAACCAATCAGTGTGACTTAGACCAACAACCACACAGTTAACTATTTTTTCCAAGTATGAGCTATCATTTCAGGGACAACAATATTTATACACGTTAGAACACCTCGGCTATCTTAATTGGCTATATTATTAATCTTGACAAGTATGCTCCAAACCTGTCATTTTCTATGTCCTTGAATTTGTTCAAAAGAAAACTAGGTCGTATCTCTATTCTGCCTTGATCTTGAATGCTCGATTATACTAAGGGTCGTCAGTTAATGATGAATGACGCATGATATATCCCAGTACCTAACTGGATCACCGGATTTCGTCAGATCTGAGAAAATTCGACAAATGCAGACATCTCATTTCGACTTCTGCATCATTTTGCTTAGAAAAGTCAGAAGTACGTTAGAGTATCAGAGTTCTGCCGTGGTTGGTTTTATTTTGGTAAGATTGATTTGTTTTGTGTGACTTGCGAAATTGGGCTCCAATGCATTGCTGATTTCTCATTTCAGCGCAGAAATTGGTTGAACAGAGGCTATAGTGGCATGGATTATAATGACCAAACTGGAGATTATAGCTAGCTAGGATGAAAAACTTGGAATGGATTTTCGGTAGGAATACACTCGCTCGCACTGAGAAACACCCAGAGTCTTCTAGCTAGCTTCATAACATGGTGGGCTAGCCAACCTAAGTTCGAAGCACTCCTAGTTATTCGATATTAGGTTATTCTCTAATATTTGTGTTTTTTTCACTCGCTCACACGAATCACGACATCGCAGGAGCTAGGAGGAATGGATCGGAGTAGCACTTAGCAGCACAGCGTCTCACGTCCCGTCGAGCGCTTCATTTGCCGACGTCCCGGCGAATACTCGCGCTCGTGTACCCCCTCCGTCCTAAAAAAAAAAGACCAATCCTATCTACGAATCTAGACACATGTGTGTCCAGGTTCGTAGCTAGGAATTCGTTTTTTTTTTGGGGGACAGTAGCATGTATATGTGGGACGACAGGGCTGGCAGCCCAAACATTTCCATATATGCATAGTCCAAACTGCAACATTTTGACAAAAGCTTAGGTAGTGTAAAATGCAAAGTTTAGCAAACCCTGATCCAATATACATGCAACCTGGGTATGAGAGTGCATAGTTTGAATTCACTCTCATACTCCCTCAATTGTAAAATGTATGACAACGTTAATTTTTCCCACAACGTTTGATCATTCGTCTTATTAAAAAAAATATATAATATCATTTATTTGTTACGACTTGTTTTATCATTAAAAATTACAATCTTAACTTATAATTTTACATATTTATACTTTTTTTTTAATAAGATGAATGATTAAACATTGTGTAAAAAGTCCACGTCATAGATTTTGAAAGAGAGATAATTTCAAAGAAAACCATAAGACGAGGCATATATATATATATATATATATATATATATATATATATATATATATATATAGTAAGTCTGACTGAATTTGCAAGACACCCCAACTTGCACGTAGTTAACAAAAGACGAATTAGATGCACTCACAAGTGCAAGACAGATTCTCACTGTGCTTGACGTCAAGATGGCATTAAGATCACCTCCTCATTCCAGCAAACGACCTCATTGATTGGGCCTCCATTCAGGGTTTGAAATTTTGGTTCGAAATTTCTGAAATTTCGCCCCCACCGGCATGCTCAAATCTCGCCCGAAATTTTCGGTTTTTTGCAATTTTTGTGAATTTGGTCAAATTTTATTCTAATTCATTCAAAATCAATTAAAATTTCAAATAATTTCGGGCTGAAATTACCGAAATTTCTAACCCCCGGCATAAAGTCCAATTTCAAAATTGTCAACCCTGCCTCCATTCATCTCTTGGGCAATGTTGCCCTCTCTTGTTTCCTCTCCTGCGTCATTTTGCCTTGTCCCCCACTGCATAAAAACGTTAAAAAGAAGAAAATTCACAAGGGGGTCAGTGCAACCGACTCCCAGGTGCATGAAAAAGAAGATAATGCAGACAACCACCTATTCGGTACTGCCTCCAATCCATTTTTTTTTATTTTCGCTGTCTTGTCTCAACATTTCTCTGCGTTGCTTACTGCAACCAAAAATTGAAAAATAAGCAAAGTCAGGCCCTGTTTACTTTTCTGTCACATCGAACTTTCCTACACACATAAACTTCCAATTTTTTCGTCACATCGTTTCAATTTTTTCAAACTTCCAATTTTGGCATGGAACTAACGCCGTGTTTAGTTCCAAAATAATTCTTCAAACTTCCAACTTTTCCATCACATCAAAACTTTCCTACACACAAACTTCCAACTTTTCCATCACATTGTTCCAATTTCAACCAAACTTCTAATTTTGGTGTGAACTTAAACACAGCCTCAGAAGCAATGCTATAATTCCAGGCAAGATGAGAAAAAAAGAACAAATGCAGACAACTTGTTCGAATGTGCTTACCGTGCAATCTTATGCATTGTTCTCTCATATTTTGTCTTCTGCATCATTTGACTCAACTGCCGACTGCAGCAAACAATGGAATAGAAGACAAGTCACAAGGTGATCAATGAAACTAGATTAAAGGCTGTGAGAAAAGAAGCAAATGTACACAGGACACACTAGTAAAGAAATTCTGAACATGTTGGCTGTCTTAATGCCCAGTAATAGTATTTGCTTTCCAGCAGAACAGTTAGCAGACTGTAGTTTTTGATATTGCAATCACAATGTTCTCTCAAATCAAGCTATCATATTACAGTTGGTAATGGGTATATACCAAGACTAACTTAGCTGACCAAATTACTTATGGTGGCAAATCAGAACAAGTCTCACCAAATGAAAAGCTCTACTAATTGAACTGTGCCAAAAAAAAGAAGAAGAAGAAGAAGAAGAAATTCAGTGAACAGGCAATGCCAAAGGATAATAGTGAGTTACTGCTTAAATCACAATTTACAGGAGAGACAGGGCATTCAGAGAAATCCGCTCTATGTTCAACACAGCAAACCAATCATCAAGTGTCAGTTAAGACATTCAGTTCATATAGATATATGCTATATATGTTTCAATTTGCTAACTCTCTAGCCATTTAACTATGTTCTTCACTGGTTGTAAATGCATAGGGCACAAACAAACGTAAGACATGCACATCAAACCTCTGGATGGGATCCTCGTGCAAATAAGAGGTGAACCAGCTGGGGATGAAGTAATGGCCATCAAAAGGCTTCCAGATCTCGTCGTCACCGCAGCATCTTCCTCTTCTTCTTCATTGATGTAGAGAGCGGCCGGTGAAATCATGGCCTTGTTTCTCATGTCAACCTCAACCAACCAGTAGAGACCATTGTCACCGTCCTTGAGGAGGAAGGAGATGGCATGTAGATCAACCAGGCTCACCACAGGGAAACTCGGCGTCACGAGTGGAAGACGACGCTCGTTTTCTCGAGCGCAGATACTCCAGAACTCATCGGCTTCCATGGTGAAATCGTGCAGCCATATACATTTGTGGATATCAATCAGAGTCCATGACTTGATGATGAAAGTTGCAGGAGATGCAGACTTGTTCTTCTTTCTGCCGCTGCCATTGTATATGCAGACGAGCGTTATCGACCCGGCGCAGGTTGCCGAGGCACATCGAGCTGGATCGGGGTCGTCCTCCTCGTAATGGCGGCAGCCATGCATCATGGCCTCTTCCGGAAGAGGGATGAGGGATGTACCTGAAGTGTCGCAGCTCCTTCGCGGCGTCGACGAGCAGGATGCCACGGTAGTAGTCGACGAGACACAGGTGGCGGCCGTCGTGCAAGGGGAGGACGACGTCGTTCACCCATTTGGAGAGCTTGCGGCGCATCTGCTTGCATCTCCAAACGGTGCATCCTCCATTGCACCGGCGACGGCGAGCGTTCGTGGTGATTGGTTGAGGATGCATAGGTGAGGGAAGTGCAGTCGACGATCGTGATGTCCGCCACCGTGAACTCGCCGTCGCTGTCGCCGGAGAGGAATCCGACGTTCTCGTCCAGCATGATCCGCTGGTGCTGCTTGCGGTACGGCTTGAAGTAGTGGTCCTCGTCGTCGGGGGCGGCGCCGCCGATGAAGCAAGGCGGCAGCCGCGTCAGCGACGAGGAGGCGGCGCCGCTGGCGCCGGCGGTGTAGACGAAGTAGTCGACGGGGAAGTATCCGGGCACGACGAACTCGTCGTCGGCGAAGGGGACGCGGGCCCAGAAGAGGATGGAGCCGCGGTGGGCGGCGACAACCTGGGCGTGGCGCAGGATGTAGGCGTCCGGCCATGGCTGGTCGAGGCGGTGGATGCGGAGGCGGGAGACGGCGGGCGGGTCGGCGACGCGGAGGGAGGCGCGGACGCGGCGGCCGCTGCAGGTGAGGGCGATCTCCGACGCCGTCACGACGTCGGCGGCGTCGACGTCGCCGTCGCTGCTGTGGACGAAGCGGTCGAGGATTATCCACCCGTGCACCAGATCCGGTGGACTCCTCCGGCCTTTCGGCCTCCTGGCTTCCATTGTTCTTTCAGGATTTTTCATAATTCGGTCCTTTTAAAAAACTTATTTCGTAAATAGGCTTCTAAAAAACTTATTCTAGAAATGATACTGGCGTCGGCCCCCTTCCACCGTGGCGGCCATGCGGGGGATGACCGAAATTTTAGAAATTTAGATAATTTCGGAAATTAGGCCGAAATTATTTAAAATTTTGATTAAATTAGAATGAATTTGAATAAAAATGGACCGAATTCAAAAAAAAATAAAAAACAAAAAATTCGGATGAGATTTGAACATGCCGGTGGGAGGGGGGCAAAATTACTGAAATTTTGGAAATTTCGAACCGAAATTTTAAACCCTGGACGTGACAGGGGAAGCCCGCCAATGATGCTGGCGCCGCCCCTCCTCCGCCTCATCAGCATGTGCCTCTCCAACGTCTACGGCATCATCTCCAAAGGTCCACCGGTCTCTCCCTATCCCGATCGACGCCGTCTTGGAACCCTAGGTCCTCGAATTAGCGGCTATAAAAGGCTTAGCCTATCAGCGCCGCGATCAGGATCGGTGCAATGCCTCCCAAAATCTGGGGGTGATTTGGCTGCTGCGACGACGGAGGTGGAGGCTCTGTGCGTCACGAACACTGGTGTCTGCTAGCACTGGGCTGAACTAGAAGAACATAGGGTAAATTTCAGAGAGTATCGAGTACCCTAGCATGATACTCGATCTAGGGTGAAGACGAACACACGGAAGAGATCAAAGCGAAATTTCAGGGGTACATAGAGTATCGAGTAAAATTAAGAGATATGAAAGGAATTGGACTGAGTTTTTATGGGTACACCAGATTTTCTCTTGAGAGTGTCCTTCTCAAAACTTAACTTCTGTGACGTCCTATAACTAATTTTCCATATAAAGCTACGATGTCACGTAACAAATTTCGCCAGAAATGTAGGCTGTGTTTAGTTGGATCCAAAGTTTGGATTTTGGTTGAAATTGGAGATGATGTGACTGAAAAGTTGTGTATGTATGACAGATTGATGTGATGAAAAAGAACTGAAGTTTGGATCCAAATTTTAGATCTAAACACAGCCGTATTCCATGTATAAACATTATATATGGGCTTAAATACGGACAATATTCGTCTATACGGGCTTTTGATGTCGAGTCCAAAGCGCGGCCCAGCCCAAATCTAAGCAATGTGACTGACTCCTGGGCCCCCATAATCTCAGCCAGCATCGCCTCCGCCACTCCGGCGAGCCATCTCCGCCGCCGGCGGCGACGGCCGCCTCTCCCTCCCTCCTCCTTCCCCTATACTCTTCTCCTCCTACCTCCACCAACGGAAGTACGACTGTACCCAAAACCCTTCCCGTCCCCTCACCTGCGCCGCCGTGACAGCCGCGATGGTCGCCGGCGGAGAAGGCCGGCCGGGGACCCCCAAAGAAAGGAAGGGGGTGTTCCAGTGTGGTTGTCCGGGAAGTTTCTTTGATTCCGCGAGACTGAACTTGCCAGCCACGTTTTGGGCTTCGTCTTGTAGATGGCGATTTCTTCCTCAGGCGCTGCGGTTCCATTGGCCGGTCTCTTGCAGGTAGAGAATTCTTTGAATGATTGATGTTGACTAGCTATAAACGTAAGAATGATTGGATGATGGTGCTATCTTTCTTCTGGACAGCTTGACTGTCCCTGGATCTGGATCTGCACGTCTTATGAAATTTCGCACTTACTCTAACCTGAATAGATGTAACTGCTTTATTTCTTTTTGTCTCACCTTGACAAAGTTAGCATATCTTGAAATATACTTTGCCCAATTGTATAGCCTTTTCTAGTTTTTATATGACCATGAGTGATTGCTTTTGGAGAGAATACCTGCTCTTCACTCTGGTCAATAGATTTCCTGTCTGACTAAAGTCAGTTGCCTTGGTATTCCTGCATATATGTAGCAAACATGTTATCAGTACATTTATATGTTTCACTTTCATATTGAGTAGAGGAATCACATAGAACCTGATTAGCTGAGTACTACATTATCACCAATGTGAAGGAACGTGCCATATGTTCCTCAAAGCTGAGACTGACCAGCCAACCACTGGTCTTGGGTTTTCAAATGGTAAATTTCTATTGCCTCTTGTCTTGCAGTTCAATAATTCCTATACCATTTATTTTTCTCCTATTTATATATTTCTGAACGCTTTTGTTTGATGTTTAGTGTGTTGGACAGACACTTGGGCTAAGACTAAGACCAACCACCACACAGTTAACTATTTTTTCCAAGTATGAACTATCATTTCAGGGACAACAATATTTATACATGTTAGACCACCTCGGTTATCTTAATTGGCTATATTATTAATCTTGACAAGTATGCTCCAAACCTGTCATTTTCTATGTCCTAGAATTTGTTCAAAAGAAGACTAGGTCGTATCTAATTCTACCTTGATCTTGAGTGCTCGATTATCCTAAGGGTCTAACTTAAGTGGTGCCAACATCTGTCTTCACTAGGTAGATTCACTAGATAATAATGAATGACACATGATATGACATCATTCCTCCTCTTGACTAATTGTCTAACCTTGCATATCTAGTATAAGCAATTCACACTTGATTTCTTCCTGACAAGTTTCCTGATTTGTTTTCCTAAGGAACAATCTTATATTGAAATGTAATTTGTCCCGTTTATGTGTTTTTATGTCATAAGATGCTACAGACACCCCACCTGCTTACTCCCTAGTCCCTCCACCCTGTTCACTTCAAGCAATCATCTTCTTTTCTTGTGCACGTCCACTTTGACTAACTAAGCATGTATAAAAGGCCTGATTGCCTGGAAAATTCATAGTTGCAGAGCACACCATACCCACAAACAGAGAGGGGGATGGAAGCTGTTGTATGCGCATCACATGGAGCTGTAGGGTCCCTGCTATGGAAGCTAAGTGCCTTGCTCTCTGATGAATATAACCTTCTCACTGGTGTTAAGAGTAATATTATGTTCCTTAAAGCTGAGCTTGAGAGCATAGATGTTTTCCTCAAGAAGATGTATGAGTTTGAGGACCCCGATGAGCAATCTTTGTTCTGGATGAAGGAGTTCAGGGAGCTGTCCTATGACATTGAAGACATCATTGATGCTTCCATGTTCTCCCTTGGTCATGAGTCCAATCGCAGACCCCGTGGCTTCAAGGGGTTTGCTGGCAGGTGCATGGACTTCTTGACAAATGTCAAGACACGCCATTGGATTGCCAAGAAAATCCATTGTCTCAAATGCTGTGTTATAGAAGCTAGCAATCGGCGTGCAAGGTACAAGGTCGATGGTTCTGTCTCCAAACTGAGTAGGACAAGCTTAGACCCTCGCTTACCAGCATTCTACACAGAGACGACAAGGCTTGTTGGAATTGATGGCCCAAGGGATAAACTCATCAAGATGCTAGTGGAAGGGGACGACGCATTGGTGCATCAGCTGAAGGTGGTCTCCATTGTTGGATTTGGAGGCCTTGGAAAGACTACTCTTGCAAATGAAGTGTGCCGGAAGCTTGAAGGACAATTTAAGTATCAAGCTTTTGTGTCAGTGTCCCAAAAACCAGACATTAAGAAGATTCTGAGACATATACTCTCTCAGATCTGCTGGCGAGAGTGTATCAGTGATGAAGCATGGGATGAGCAGCAGCTCATCCACACAATAAGACAATTCCTTAAGGATAAGAGGTATGTGCCATGTTTCCATGACAACCTTGTCTGGGGCTCTATGCATTTAACACCATCAATTATGCATTGATCTTTTTCATGTTAGAACTAATTGATAAAACAACAGATCTTTGGAATGATGCATGTACACTTGCTTATTACTACTATCCACTTGGTTATACTTTTAGCTTTAGCAATACCTGTTTAACTTCAATTTTTTTATAGGTATTTTATTGTTATCGATGATATATGGAGCACATCAGCATGGAGAACAATCAAATGTGCTTTTCCCGAAAATAACTGTTCCAGTAGAATATTGACGACGACACGTATCATCGCAGTTGCTAAGTATTGTTGCTCACCTCACCATGACAATGTATATGAAATAAAGCCTCTTGGTGCAATTCACTCTAAAAGCTTATTTTTCAAACGAACTTTTGGTTCTGAAGATAAATGCCCTCTTCATCTGAAAGAAGTTTCTAATGCAATCTTGAGAAAATGTGGTGGCTTGCCACTGGGAATTATCACAGTAGCTAGCTTATTGGCTAATAAAGCTAGTACAAAAGAAGAATGGGAGAGCATACATAATTCTATTGGTTCAGCTCTTGAAAAAGATACAGATATGGAAGAAATGAAAAGGATATTGCTCCTTAGTTATGATGATCTTCCTTACCATTTGAAGACATGTTTGCTATATCTAAGTATTATTCCAGAAGATTACGAGATCAAGAGAGATCGGTTAATAAGGAGATGGATTGCTGAAGGTTTCATCCCTACAGAAGGGGTGCATGATATGGAGGAAGTAGGCGAATGCTATTTCAACGATCTTATCAACAGGAGTATGATTCTACCAGTTAATATCCAATATGATGGTCGAGCTGATGCTTGTCGTGTGCATGATATGATTCTTGATCTCATCATATCCATATCTGTCAAAGAAAATTTTGTAACCTTGCACGGTGACCAAAACTACAAAATAGTGCAACAAAATAAGGTTCGTCGCCTATCCCTCAACTATCATGCTCGAGAAGATATAATGATACCATCAAGTATGATTGTTTCTCATGTCCGATCCCTCACTATCTTTGGATATGCTGAACATATGCCTGCTCTGTCAAAATTGCAATTTATGCGAGTGTTAGATGTAGAAAATAAAATGGTGTTGGATCACAGTTTTCTCAAGCATATACACAGGCTTTCTCAATTGAAGTACCTGCGACTCAATGTAAGAAGAATCACTGCACTTCCTGAACAACTAGGAGAATTGCAGAATTTGCAGACCTTAGACTTAAGATGGACACAAATAAAGAAATTGCCATCTAGTATCGTTCGACTGCAGAAATTAGTATGCCTAAGGGTAAACAGTTTAGAATTGCCTGAAGGGATTGGAAATCTGCAAGCTCTACAGGAATTATCAGAGATTGAAATCAACCACAATACATCAGTGTATTCTCTGCAGGAGCTGGGAAATCTGAAGAAACTAAGAATTCTTGGGCTGAATTGGAGCATCAGTGATTCAAATTGTGACATCAAAATTTACGCAGATAACTTAGTCACGTCCCTCTGTAAACTAGGCATGTTCAATCTTCGATCTATACAAATTCAAGGTTATCATATTATTTCCCTTGATTTCTTACTGGATTCTTGGTTTCCTCCTCCTCATCTCCTCCAGAAATTTGAGATGTCCATAAGCTACTTTTTCCCCAGAATCCCAAAGTGGATAGAGTCACTTGAGTACCTCAGTTACCTAGACATCTACATCAACCCAGTGGATGAGGAAACATTCCAAATTCTTGCGGGCTTGCCGTCTTTAATATTTCTTTGGATATCCTCTAGAGCAGCAACCCCTAAAAAAGGGTTAATTATCAGCTATAATGGGTTCCAGTGTCTGAGGGAGCTCTACTTCACCTGTTGGGAAAGCAAGACAGGTATGATGTTTGAAGCAGGAGCCATGCCAAAACTTGAAAAGCTTCGGGTTCCATATAATGCATGTGATATATGCTCTTTGAATGGTGGTATGGATTTTGGCATCCAACACCTCTGTTCCCTGAAACATCTCCATGTTGAGATTATTTGCCGTGGTGCAAAGCTTCAGGAGGTGGAGGCCTTGGAGAATGCTATCAAAAGCGCAGCTGGCCTCCTTTCTGATGAGCTCACTTTTGAAGTAAGTAGATGGGATGAAGAAGAGATTATTGATATGGACCAAGAACTGGCAGAAGATGATTTTGATACAATTAATTGAAAGCATAGCACAATACTGAGGTATATTATTTGTTCTGTTAAGCCACAACAATTTGACATATTTTTATTATTAAATTTTATGGGTAATGCGTTTTGGTCGTCTTTTAATTTCATTTGTCATGTCTCTATCAGGGTTCAGCCCTGTGCTTCGTTGTAAGATGCTCTATAAGTCTTCCAGAAAGAATGAACAAAATTGTTCAAAAAGTACTGTTATCATGCATGGTTTGATCCTTAACCAGTAATCAACAATTCCTGTGGAGAGGCCAATTTATTTCGATGTAAATTCAATGGATGACTTTTTTGTATCCTGATGATATCAGATCATTTTTGTATCCTCGGTTCGACTCCCCGTGGGAGCAAATTTCAGGCTGGGGTTAAAAATATCTCCTCGTTTGTCCCACCCCAAAGCAAAGGTCTAAGGCCTGACCCAGGTCATTAGTCGTTCTCGCATGAGCTATGGTGCCTCTGTGTAAGGGTGGGGCAGGCGGGTCGGGGTTTTCTCGACCTGCATGAGAAGGTCTTCTTCTATGCAAAATGCTCGGGGGCTGTATTACCCCTGCAGGTCGAGTATTTTTTTTGAGCTCTTTTAAAAATATGAATCTTTAAGTAAGATAAAGAATATAGTAAAAAAAGTTCCTCTATTCAGCTCCTCTGTTCCCTTTTCCTATGCATCCTCCCTCCCATCGGAACACTAAAAATGTTGAAGTTTTAGTGTCATATTTTATGTTGACGTATTCTGTGGTACCTGCTGAGCCTATCCTTGTCTTAAATAAACATGCTCTGATAACATTAGTGTGAGTCAATTGGCTCTTGCACGTCTTGCTTCTTCTTAGGTGAGTAGGTGACATCTTTTGGTGTTCTTTCTCTTCGTGCGTCTCCTTGGGAATGAATGTTTGTGCTGTAAACTGGAATACTCTTCCTCTCTGAAATAAATGTCTTGCTTCTTCTGGTTGGTAAATTGTTGATTAAACTGAAATTTAAACATTTTTTTTTTTGCAATATGTGTTCTACACAAAATATACTTCTTCCTTCAGGAGGCCGGACAGGAGGTTGGGCCGTGTTCGCCTTGATATGGAAAAAGTACACCCAAGGTCCCTCGGGTTGTCATCGAGATACAAAATCGTCCCCCAATCGCAAAATCAGATACCGGGCGTCCCTCAACTAACAAAACTATTCGCTTTGGATCCCTTGGTTTTAACCCCGGTTTTGTCCGACGTGGCGGCTGAGTCAGCGTGGGACCCACATGGGCCCCATATGTCAGGAAGCCATGCCAGCCTCTTCTCTATTTCCCCTCCTCTCTCCCTTCCTCCTCTCTTCTCTCTTTCTCTCCCTCCTCTCTAGGTCTCTGGATGGCCAGCGGTGGGGAGGAGGTCGACAGGGCAAGGAGGTCCGGCGGCCGGCCGACGATGCGGCGGTAGTGGCGACACAGCAGAAGGAAAGGGCGGCGGCGGCAGGAGCATGGGGGAGATCGAAGAGGATGACCTCGAGCACGACGACGAGCGGAGTGGGGCGACGGCGAGGCCGAGCGGAGCGGCTGCGCGCGAAGCCGGCAGCGCGGTGGCGGGCAGAGCAGGCAGGTCGACGAGGCAGTGACACAAGAACGGGCGTGGCGTAAGCGTCGGTGGCGCGGCGGAGGGCCTCCTTGACAGTGGAGGAGACGACGGGGGAAGAGGAGAGCGGGCCAGAGAGGAGGGATTTGGAGAGGGATTTGTAGTGGTGGCGGAGGGTGGAGGGGGAGAGGGGCGAGCCCTAGGAGTCGGAGTCGGGGAGGAGGAGGGTGGCACGGTGGGAGGAGTGGTCAGCGACGAGGACGGAGACGGCGGTGAGGAGGAGCGAGCCGCGCGGGGAGTCCGGGTCGAGGCGGGCGGCACGGTGGGCGTGCTTGTGCACGGCGCGGAGGTGGCTGGCGTCGAGGTCGGTCTCGGCCAGGGAGAGGAGGCGCAAGAGCTCGTCGTCGTCGTTCGCATCGGCTGCGCGTGCTGGGTGGTTGCGGGTGTGGGGGCCACCGCCGCCCTCCTCTCCCACCTTGCCCCTCCTAGTGCGAGAGCTTGTCCGCCGCCGCCCGCCTCCACAACTGTAAGCCTCCTCATCATAACCCTCTTTCGTTTCCCGCGTCGCCTCCTTTGCCGCCGACGCGGTCTCCCCCGCCGCCCTCGACTCGCTCCCCTCCCTTCCCCTGCCATTCTCATCCCCACCCCCGCCGCCGCCCACCTCGCCGTCGCGGCGGGGGTCCTCTTCGCGCCCGCCAATTGCCCTGCAGCGAGTGAGCGAGGAGAAAAGAGATAGGGGGACTGAGGGAGGGAGATGATGTGCCAGCCTGACATGTGGGGGCCATGTGGGTCTCACGCTGACTCGGCCGCCATGTCGGACAAAACCTGGGTCGAAACCATCGAGGGACCTAAAGCGAACGGTTTTGTCAGTTGACGGACGTATTGGGGGGACGATTTTGTATCTCCGATAACAAGTTGAGGGACCTTGGGTGTACTTTTTCCCCTTGACATTTGGGTTGAATGGGCTTGGGCCTCCAGAGCGGGCCCACGAACACCACCGACTCGGCGACCACGCGGCGGCGGCGGCGCAGAGAGGAGGAAAAAAACCTCGCAACTCTCCCTTGGATTGAAGCGGACGACACTCCCTCTCCCTCGGCGGCGGCGGCGGCGGCGGCGAGAGGCGGGCGGGGAGATGGTGAAGGCGCGGATGACGACGGCGGACGTGGCGGCGGAGGTCAAGTGCCTCCGCCGCCTCATCGGCATGCGCCTCTCCAACGTCTACGGCATCACCCCCAAGGTCCGTCTCCCTCTCCCGATCGACGCCGTGTTTGGAACCCTAGGTCCTCGAATAGCTACAAGGCTTCGCCAGCTAGCCTCCCGCCGGCAACCGCGTAGATGCTCTCTGCGCGGCGATCAGGATCGATGCGATGCCTCCCAAAAACTGGGGGTTGATTTGGCTGCTGCGGCGGCGGCTCGGCGCGTTATGCTCGCGGCTTGCCATTCCGGTTGGGGCTCGTATGGGATGAGTAGCTTAGCTTGCCGCGAACTCTGGTATCTGTTGGCACTGGGCTGAATTTAGAAGAACATAGGGTATATAATGCTAGGGTATCAACATTATTGGGCAAAGATCTTGCCTGGTGTTAAAAAAAAAGAAAAAAAATCAAATGATTTGGTGGTCTGTTCAGTTGGACTAATGCTTGATGCCGTGGGTTTATCTCCCGCCTCGCTTGATTGCCACCTTGTCAGGGCTGTATTATGCTCGACTCCTGTAAGAACCAAGTAATTTAGTGAGATATGACTGTTGTCATGTACTAGTGTTCTGAGATGTCAGGTGACACTTTGGACAACTGAACTTAATGAAAAAGGGCTCAGATACCTGTTAATTGAGCTGGATAATATTATTCCAGTGTACTAATTCTTTAAGTGTGTTTCTGTTGCTGAGCAACCGCAAAAGGTTCTACTGCATTCTACAAAGCTGTTTTTCTAACTATCATTTGTATATGCACTTGCACAGACATATCTTTTCAAGCTGATGAACAGCAGTGGAATCACTGAGTCAGGGGAAAGCGAGAAGGTTTTGTTGCTGATGGAAAGTGGTGTTAGGCTGCATACCACCCAATATGTCCGGTAAGATGCTAGTGATGCCCTTAGTTGATGTTTGCAGTCTACCTGGAGTCCTTATTTCACGACAAAAATGTCTAAACCCCTCTGGTTTTCTACATCTGCAGTGACAAGAGCACCACACCATCTGGTTTCACTCTCAAGCTACGAAAACACATTCGAAGCAAGAGACTTGAAGATGTCCGTATGCTTGGATACGATAGGGTACTTTTCTCATTTCCTTTCTTTTAGCATAACCATTTCAAGCGATCAGTGTTGTACTTCTATTGGTTGGCTTACTTAATGATGTGTGCAAGCATTTCAACTGTGCAGATTATCCTGTTTCAGTTTGGACTTGGCAGTAACGCGCATTTTGTCATTTTAGAACTATACGCACAAGGAAATATACTTCTTACAGATTCCGAATACACAGTGCTGACACTACTCCGTTCACACAGGTCCATATTTTAATTTGTGCAGTACTTTGTTAAATTGCTCTATCTAGGAGGAACTGTTAGTTTGTTCTGTTTTACTATAAAGTGCCAAAAGACCAACTAAAATTATATCAGTGATCCCATAACCCTTCATTTGATCCAATAAATCTGCCTACTTTTGTTCTTTACTGTTTGTGTATATACTTATCATCAATCTTATAAATCACAGAGATGATAACAAGGGATTGGCTATCATGTCGCGTCACCGCTACCCAGTAGAAGCATGCCGTGTTTTTGAAAGGACTGACTTTACAAAGTTAAAAGACACGCTGATGATGAATGCAGTTGATGATAAAGAATCTTCTCAAGTTACACCCGGTTCAATTGATGCTCAAGAACCTTCTGTAACCCCCAGTGATGGAGTGCCGGTTACTGATAAATCTGAAGAACCATCTACAACAACAGGAAAGAAGTCAGCTTCAAAAAACAAGCAGTCAAGTTCAAATGCAAAAGCTAGTAATAATGCTCCATCAAATAAATCAACTCTAAAGACACTTCTTGGGGAAGCATTGGCTTATGGGCCTGCATTAGCTGAGCATATCATATTGGATGCTGGATTGCTTCCAAGTACAAAGGTTGGGAAAGACCCAGAGAGCAGTATTGATGATCACACTATTCAGTCCCTAGTAGAATCCATTTCAAAGTTTGAGGATTGGCTTGTAGATGTCATGTCTGGTCAAAGGATCCCTGAGGGGTACATCCTCATGCAGAATAAGGCGGCTGCAAAGAAGAACCTCACACCTTTGGAGGGGTCTAGTGCTAGTCAGAAGGTCTGTCTGTTGTTTTCACTATGCTTCTTTTAGTACAATAGTGTAATTGATTGTGGTTGCTTTCATTTGTTTAATGTATAGTTTCCTCTCATGCAATATCACATGAGCATACAGTCAATTCTTTTTCAAGATATTATTTTATTTATCCTAACATTTTGTATGCAGATATATGATGAATATTGCCCTGTCCTGTTGAATCAATTTAAGTCAAGGGAATTCAATGAATTTGAGACATTTGATGCTGCTCTAGATGAGTTCTACAGCAAAATAGAGAGTCAAAGGGTGAATCAACAGCAAAAATCAAAAGAGGACTCAGCGGCACAAAGGCTTAATAAAATTAAATTGGATCAGGTTCTTGCATTCATAACTTGGAGTTTGTTCTTTATATCAGCATCCTGATAGCCTGATGTTCATTGGTCCAACCATTCGTGCAGGAAAATCGTGTACATACATTGAGAAAGGAGGTTGACCATTCCATCAAAATGGCAGAATTAATTGAGTATAATTTAGAGGATGTGGATGCTGCAATTGTAGCTGTCCGCGTTTCCCTTGCAAATGGAATGAGTTGGGATGCCCTTGCTCGCATGATTAAAGAAGAGAAAAAGGCTGGAAACCCAGTAGCAGGTCTAATCGATAAGCTTAGTTTTGAAAGAAATTGCATCACTCTACTTCTAAGCAATAATCTTGATGACATGGATGAGGAGGAGAAAACTGCACCTGTTGAAAAGGTATGCTGTGCAAACTCCTAGTTTTGCATCCGAAATGTTGTCTGTACTATATTATGCAACCTGGAAACATCTGTTATTCATTAACTTAATGAATCAGATTATTGATTTCATGGTTCTTTTCTTCTCTTGGTTAGCAGGAATAGATTGAATTATCTCCATTTATTGGTGTTCCATTGTATATTCAATATTGATGCTTATTTTTAATTAGAGTAATTTTATTTGATGAGGTTCCATCTACAACTTCTACTATTGCATTAAAGTATCATTAGCTATTTTATGTTGCCTGACAATCATGCAAACTGGAAGATTACTTGTCACCAGTATTGAAGGTTTTAAACAAGAGATTGCCATGTGGGAATGGATAAAAGGATGATAATTGCATGTGTGCTTTATTCTGATCTTGTTTAAAATTTATACCTTTATTTAGTTGTTTTGAACTTTTGTTTCTTTACTTTTCTATGCAATTTCCTCATGTTATTTTCTTATTCACGTGACACTTTATGGTTTCTTCTAGGTAGAGGTTGACCTATCACTTTCTGCGCATGCAAATGCCAGGCGGTGGTATGAACTAAAGAAAAAACAGGAAAGCAAACAAGAGAAGACTGTCACAGCACATGAGAAAGCATTCAAAGCAGCAGAGAAGAAGACACGTCTTCAGCTTGCTCAGGTTCCATACAGATATACACTTGTGACCAAGAACTTTTAGAGAGAGGGGGTGGGGTAGGGCCGTAGGGGGCATTTCCTTTTATCAGAACGTGTTGGATAAGTTTTAGGTTTGTTTTGAAACTGGGGCTATTTAGTTGGGTGCCAAACTTCGCCATACCTATGGAAGGAAGTTCGACCAACCGAGGCAAAGCTTTTGATTCTGTGACCTGCTACTCTTTTAAAGCCAGTTTGCCACTCTTCATATTGAAAGACACTTTTTTTGCCACAATTGTGGCAAACAAATTGTTGATTAAAAAAAAAAAGTTTGGCACACCATACTTTGTGAAAAGTTTTGTCGCAACGTGTGGATGCCATCCAAACAGCCCACCAGCCCCTAAGTACTTAAGTGTGTGTAAGCTAGTCTTATGATGTATCCAACTCATGGCATCACTGAGGGATTAGGGAAGGTAGGGAAGCACATGAGGGAGAAGAGAAGGCAGCTGGTATGGAAGACAGGAAGGGTTTTTAGGAATTGAACGGAGCAATCGATCCGAGGGAAATGTGAATGGGAGGTGAAAGTAATGAATTGAATGGATGCGAATGCAATGAATTATTCTTTTGACTTTTTCCTTCTATGCATATGATGCATCTCAACTGAATAAAACTACCTTCTAGCTAGCACCTAGGAAGGCTCCTGGCTCCCCTGGAGCTCCTTCACCTTCCGGAGTGCCATGAAAGCTTTATCTTCCTCTAGAAAACAAGGCACAACTAAATTATTTGCCTGGTTTTTGTCTTGATAGAATATATGCAATTTTCATAATAGAAGGTCAACGAAAAATTTAGTGTGTTTTACCTGTTCTCCAAACCAAGCATTTGGATAAAGCTTTCTTTAGACTGTTGTTGTTTTATATGCTTGCACATTGAAATAATTATATAAAGAAATTGAATTTATTTATTATTTCGTAAAAATAACTTGATATGTTGATATTTGCAGGAAAAAACTGTCGCTGCAATCACTCATATGCGCAAAGTTCACTGGTTTGAGAAGTTCAATTGGTTCATCAGCAGTGAAAATTACCTGATTATTAGTGGCCGCGATGCTCAACAAAATGAGTTGATTGTCAAGCGGTACATGTCGAAAGGAGATCTGTAAGTACCCTTTTCATCCAGAGTCTATTGCAAACAATTGCATCAACATCTTTGGTAATGGCTGTAAAGCTTATTGTTGATGCAGACTGTACATCTTCTATCAGTGGTATTTTTGCAGTTGATCATAGGAAACATAACCTCCGTTGTTATGGCTCTTTAAGTTTCATAATTCAGTCATCATATTTGTATCTAGTTCCTTGAGGTTCTCACGGAAGTTGCTTGTTTACTTTGCATCTTTGGATAGCTACGTGCATGCTGAGTTACATGGAGCTTCCAGTACAATCATCAAGAATCACAAACCTGATAATCCCATTCCACCATTGACATTAAACCAAGCAGGATCTTTCACTGTGAGTTTAATATATTATTTTGCTATTCCTAAATGTTAAAGATTGAGTGCTCATATAGATTAGGCCTGTTGAACCTGCTCCTGTTGTTGCAGGTTTGCCACAGCAAAGCATGGGATTCAAAAATTGTTACCAGTGCTTGGTGGGTGTATCCTTATCAAGTTAGCAAAACAGCTCCCACTGGCGAGTACCTAACAGTGGGTAGTTTTATGATCCGTGGCAAGAAAAATTTTCTCCCACCTCACCCCCTTGTTATGGGATTTGGTATTCTATTCCGTTTGGATGAGAGCTCCTTGGCATCTCATCTAAATGAAAGGAGGGTCAGGGGTGAAGACGAGGAGGCCCTTCCTGATGTTGAGTCTCAGAAGCTGGAAAGTAATGCTGAATTGGATGGTGAACTTGACAGTGATAGTGAGACTGGCAAGGAGAAACATGATGATGAATCAAGCTTGGATAATATCAATGTTAAAAAAATTGACAATCCCATCCCTTCTAATGCACCTTATGTTAAGGATAATGCTGATTCATCTGAGCAGCTTTCTGAAATCCGAACTGTGGTAAACAGCACTACTTCCACTTCCAAGGGACAAACAAGTGATCGCACTGTTTCATCACAACTTGAGGATCTGCTTGATAAGAATCTTGGTCTTGGGCCAACTAAGGTGTTAGGCAGAAGCTCTTTGCTCAGCAGTAATTCTGCAAGCGTGGCAGATGACATTGATGATCTTGATACGAAGAAAACATCAGTAAGAGATAAACCATACATATCTAAAGCAGATAGAAGAAAACTGAAGAAAGGTCAGAATGTTGGTGATTCTACCAGTGACTCTCCAAATGGTGAAGCTGCCAAAAAGCCTGTTAACTCACAGCAAGAAAAAGGAAAGACAATCGAAAAGCCTGCTAATCCTAAAGTAAGTCGTGGACAGAAGGGCAAGCTTAAGAAGATTAAAGAGAAGTATGGAGAGCAGGATGAAGAAGAAAGAGAAATCCGGATGGCTTTACTTGCGGTAATTGCTTCTCTTGTTTTCTTTCCAATTGTACTCCTGCTTCATTTGTTGCATTGTTTAATTCTTTTCTTCTATAGTCCTCTGGAAGGGCCTCACAAAAGGATAAACCTTCAGAAGATGTAGATGGAGCCACTGCAGCTCAATCAAAACCATCGACTGGTACTTTCCACATTTCCTCATTTTATGTCTCAATTAATGATGGTTCCATTACAGTTTTGTGCTTATAATCTTACTGAACTTATCCTTGTGTTAGTCACTTAGTTAACTAGTCTTTACTTGAGATATTGTTAGTTTATTCATATGGTTTTCCTATTTTTTGAACTATAAAGGCAAAAAAAGAGTCTGGCCCAGTTATCCATTTTTTTTCTCGTAGTCTCAAATCTCTTATGTCATACCTTTTATTCCCTCAGGTGAAGATGACAGATCAAAAATTTGTTATAAATGCAAAAAATCTGGACATCTTTCTCGTGATTGCCCTGAAAGTACATCTGAGGTGGATCCTGCTGATGTCAATGTTGGTAGAGCCAAAGATGGTATGGATAGAAGCAGCGCCCCTGCTGGTAGCAGCGTTACCATGGATGAAGATGACATCCATGAGCTCGGTGATGAAGAGAAAGAGAAGTTAATTGATTTGGACTACCTAACTGGAAATCCACTGCCAAGTGATATTTTGCTATATGCTGTACCAGTTTGTGCCCCTTACAACGCATTGCAGGCATACAAATATCGTGTGAAGATTACCCCGGGAACTGCAAAGAAAGGAAAAGGTACAGACCCATATATAATGGGATATAGAAGTCATATCGGTCTTGCTTTCTTTTCCTCCATATTATTTTGTATGATGTTTTGATATCCAAGTATGTTGATTGCAGCTGCCAAAACTGCAATGAGTTTGTTCCTGCACACTGCTGACGCCACAAACCGTGAGAAGGAGCTAATGAAGGCATGCACGGACCCTGAATTGGTTGCTGCCATTGTAGGGAATGCCAAGATCACCGCACCTGGCCTCACTCAACTGAAGCAGAAGCAGAAACAGAAGGGGAAAAAATCTGCAAAAGAAAACTAGTTCAAAGCTATCAGAGACCACCCCGTTTTGTCAAGAAAAGTATTTTTCTCTGCAGAAACAATGCAAATGTTTTGGTATGTTGTCAGGCGCATTTGGATGGAGGTGTCACATGGATTGGCCCTCATTCTTGTAAAGTTTAAACATCTCTTTGGCATTCATAGCCATAGGACAGGATATAATGTAAACAGATACGGCAGAACATTGGAACCGATTGACAAGCTTCATACGCTTACAAAGGGACGCTGAGTCCCCTTTTGGTGTGTCTTGTGATGTATGAAAGCTACAAAAAAAAAATCATAGATTTCACTTTAGCACACCTCCCAAGTTACTGGTATTTACCAGTCTTTGACGTGCATTTTTGCAAGTTTTGGATCTTTTTTTTGCTCCTCACCAGAGCATCTTACAGAGGTACTATATATAATCTTACACATAAGGTACTATATGGCAATAATCTTGTACAAGATAACAAAAGGAGGGTGAAAGAATAATGCAGAGAACAGACAATCTGCTAGCTATACAAAAAATTCTGCTCTCAACTATGACAAAGCACTGCTTCTTACTGCTGCTAGGCAGTCTTGTTAACCCTGAAGGAGTCCATGACTCTCCTCAGGTCACCTTCTTCCTCCTTGAACACCTTCTCCGGCGACTGCAGCCGGAGCTCGTACAGCCGCTTGTTCTCGACGCCGAGCACCGACAGGTAGCGCCGGTCCCACTCCAGCCGCTGCACCCTGTCCTGCGGCATCACCGCCAGCTCGTTGTTGCTGGCAAATGACTTGATATTCACCTGCAAAAACAGCAGCAGCAGCAGCAGAAGCAATTTGTCTGAATGTTCATGCAGGTTTTTTTTTTCAAGCATCTCTGAACAAACAGTGGGAGAAACAAACTGAACTTTGCAGGCTGATTATGTGAGTTATGAATGGGAATTTGTATAATCTGTTTGGTTCACCTCAACTTCATAGTAGAGCTTGCCGTCGTCAGCGACCTTCGACGACGCTGACAGGATGTTCGACGTTCGTCGAACGCCTAGCCTGGTCGACATGAACTCTGTCAGGTACTGCTGCAGCACTCTCTCTGCAGCCTTCTCTGGGGGCCCAAGATCTTCAACCGTCATGTACTTCGACGACGAAGGAGACGATATCTCGACCGACATGTTCTCGTCGAGGAAGAACGGGTCTCTGAAGAATATGTCAGCACCAGCTCCCCGGACCTGGATCCAGCTCTTTGGGTAGAGGAAGGAGTAGCCATCGAATGTGTCGATGTACTCCCTGAATGTACCACCAGTTGTCTCGGCCAGTGTGATCTGTTTCGGTCCGAAGAGGAAGACTGTTGAAGTGGATAGCATTGTGGATAGTACATTCCTCCTGGGAACTGCAAAAATCTTTAGTTTGGTTGCAGTTTGCAAAAGAAAAAAATGATTTTATGATGATATGCAGTGATCAAGGCAAGGATAATCATATTCAGAATTTTCAATTTTGGGATAGCTTCATTTTGTTCTGAAGTCAATTTGAAACAAATGCAGATAAAAGCTAGCACAAGCAAAGTTGCAGATCACAGGAAGGACATTAAGAGCAAAGGCTCTAGACAAGGTGCTACAAGGTACAACAGTTCAACTGTTTACTCTCGGCATTTTTAGTATGGATGCATTAATTAAAACATGTAGCTGTTACAGCTAGTATGAAAAATTCACAATGCACCTTGCTTCTGACAGGCATAGCATAGTGACTTATGTCATATCACCAATCTTCTTACGTGTCATGATTATGCTTAAAGATAACCAATGTCCAATGTTAATTATTCCCATTGATCCTATCCTACACAACAGTGTGCAAAATTGTCGTAGCAAGTAGGAAAGAAAGCAGTATGCGAAACCGAACAAGTTTCTAATAGAACTAAGACCACACTAACTGGAAACTGTAAGATTGTTATAATTCAACCGTTTGAACACTTCAACGAAGGTTTATACATGATTTTCAACGCTAATGTGTAGGGTAACAAAAAAATTCACACAGTACAGCTAGCGTCTTAGAATGTACAGCCTAACACAGAAGGTGTCGCGACACGGCTAATGGGGTCTCGCTCTTGAGCATCGACTTTCAAACATGCAGGCTCTTCCTTTGACAAAACACAAAAAATAGCTTGATGATAATCAGTCTGCTTAGTCTAAGTGATGAGCTGTAACAACCCATGTTAAATAAGAAATGCTAAAACTGTCCTGGACTCTCAGTCATTGTCACTTGCACTCTGAACTAAAGCGTGCGCGCTGAGACAGTCTTTTCAGAAAATTTCAATCACAAGAAGGGTGGGCTATGACAATACATTCATGTGGAAATTTTATTCTGAAAAGAAGAAGCCAATCATAATTGTGTGGAAATTCTGACGGAATAAGCCTTGTGGTCTTTGGTCCTTGTGGTCCTTCTCTTGCTTTTAGGTTGTTTTTCCCCTTTTAGGACATCATCATTTCAGTTTTGCTTTTAGCATCTTTCGGTTTTGCTTTTAGCATCCCTAGGACAGCATCTAGCATCTCCTTTATGCTTTATTCAGTTTGGATGCTCTCTAGGACAGCATTGCGTTCAAATTTTAGACTAGTGTGGGCAGCAATTAGCTAGCAGCCATCCAGCCAGCTATGGCTATATATATGTATCCAACCTCCCTCGGGAAGGTATGGCTTTTGTGTTTAGTGAATGAAGAAAAACCAGAAAATTGCCCCATCTCGAGTGCCATCCTCTTCTCAATGAGAGTAACCATTGAAATTCTAACATCAGGTATCAGAGCCACACTTTCCTGTAGGCTAAACATCTCTTGTTTCACCCCTTCCCAAGCTCGGTTGAGCTCTCAGCCAGCAGCAGCAGCAGCACCGGTTGCTCCTCCTTCCCCTTTCCCTTCCCCCTCTCCACGCAGCAGCCCCCCGGAGGTGCGCCATGTCCGACGCTCGGTCTCGGCGTTCGGTCGCCTCGAGCACTCGGCGTCAGCAGGACGCCGAGCTCGCCGCAGCAGAAGAGCGCAGGCGAGCAACGGCTCAGACCGCTGCAGCAGCAGCTAGGGCGGCCAGACTGGCGGCAGCGGAGTTGGCAGCAGCCAGGGCGGAGGCGGAGGCGGAGGCGGCGGAAGATGCGGCACGTGCGGCGGAGGTAGAGGTTGAGACCTTGCGCATCAGCATCAACGGCTCCATCGCCGGCGACATCACCGCCGACAGGGAGCTTGAGGAGCTGGCAAGAGGAAGGGCACGGGAGCGGGCAGAGCGGTGGGCAGCAGCCCACCTCCACGGCGGTGGCGGCGGCCCAAGGGACCGCGCGCCCGCCAACGGGAACCCAGATGGGCGCGGGCGTGCCGGCGGCAGCCCGGAGCCCGCACGCGGCCCTCGCAGGCAGTGCGGTTCTTTCTCCCCTGACCGACGCCATGGTCACCACGGCGTCCAGACGGTGGTTAGAGACTTTGGTCCCGGCGGTGGGTGGCCTACCCTCACCAAAACCAACTACATCGAGTGGGCCGCGGTGATGAGGGTGAGGCTCCAGGTGCGGCACATGTGGGAGGCAGTCCGGTACGGCGACGTCGACTACGACGAGGATCGGCGGGCACTGGATGCCCTCATCGCTGTAGTCCCGCCCGAGATGCAGTTCTCGCTTTCCCAGAAGCGGACTGCCAAGGAGGCCTAGGACGCCATCACTGCGGCATGCATCGGCAGCGACCGCGCCCGCAAGTCCACACTGCAGGCACCCGCAAGGAGTGGGAGAACCTGGCCTTCAAGCCAGGTGAGGATGTTGATGACTTTGCTCTCCGTCTCAACACTCTCTTGCAGAAAATGGTGCAGTACGGCGACGACACCTACGACGAGGAGAGAGCTGTCGAGAAGCTCTTCCGCTGCGTCCCTGAGAAGTACAGACAGATCGCTCGCTCGATCGAATCTCTGCTAGACCTCTCCACGATGTCGATCGAGGAGGCGTTAGGTCGCCTCAAGGTCGTCGATGGTGATGAGCCACAGCCTCTCTCGGGGCCCATCACCATCGGCGGGAAGCTCCATCTCACTCGGGAGCAGTGTGAGGCCTCTCAGGGTGACGGGAGGAAGGGGGAGTCATCTTCCCCGACAGGCGGCCGTAAGCCGCGCAAGGCGCGGGGAGGTGTCCAGCTACGGTGGGCGCGAAGACGTGCCGAGGGTGGCGCCCGCAGAGGCGCCCAGGGCGTTACCACCGGCAACCACAAGCCGGCACGAGACGACGCCTGCCGCAACTGTGGCAAGCTTGGCCATTGGGCCAAAGACTGTCGACAGCCACGACGCGGCCAGGCCCACGTCGCACGGGTGGAGGAGGAAGAGCTGGCTCTGCTCCTAGCTCACGCAAGCATCGAGCTACCTCCAGCGGCACCGGCCGCAGCGGCTTTCCTCCACCTTGATGAGCCGAAGGTACTCGTCTCCCTCTGCAACGGCTCCAGTAACAACAAGGCTGATGGGTGGTACCTCGACACCGGCGCCACCCATCACATGACCGGCCGACGGGAGTTCTTCACCGAGTTCGACTCCAGCGTCCGAGGCTCCGTCAAGTTCGGGGACGCCTCCGGCGTGGAGATCAAGGGTGTTGGCTCCGTCACCTTCACCGCCAAGTCCGGTGAGCACAGGCTGCTCACCGGAGTCTACTACATCCCCGCGTTGAGGAATTCTATCATCAGCGTGGGACAGCTGGATGAGAACGGCTCACGCGTGTTGGTCGAGGACGGACTCATGAAGATTTGGGATCGCCGTCGTCGCCTTCTTGCCAAGGTAACCAGAGGCACTAATCGACTCTACATCCTCAGCGCGCAGGTTGCACAACCAGTTTGCCTCGCCGCTCGTCGGGATGACGAGGCATGGCAGTGGCACGAGCGCTTCGGGCACCTCCACTTCGAGGCCCTGAAGCGCCTCAGTGCCAAGGAGATGGTGCGAGGCATGCCGTGCCTTGACCACGTGGAGTAGCTCTGCGACGTCTGTGTGGTGACGAAGCAGCGGCGGCTCCCCTTTCCCCAGCAGACGAGCTTCCGAGCCAAGGAGCGGCTCGAGCTCGTGCACGGGGACTTGTGTGGCCCAGTGACACCGGCCACACCAGGAGGACGACGTTACTTCCAGCTGCTCGTCGACGACCTCTCCCGCTACATGTGGGTGATGGTCCTCGGCAGCAAGGGAGAGGCTGCGGACGCCATCAGGCATGCGCAGGCTGCTGCAGAGGCGGAGTGCGGTCGCAAGCTGCGTGTGCTGCGCACCGACAATGGCGGCGAATTCACAGCGGCTGAATTCGTGTCGTACTGCGCTGATGAGGGCATTCAGCGCCACTACACCGCGCCGTACAGCCCACAGCAGAACGGCGTCGTCGAGCGGCGGAACCAGACGGTTGTGGGGATGGCTCGAGCTCTTCTCAAGCAGAGGGGGATGCCGGCCATCTTCTGGGGGGAGGCGGTGGTGACAGCCGTCTACATCCTCAATTGCTCGCCTACCAAGGCCCTCGATGGCAGGACACCGTACGAGGCTTGGCATGGGCACAAGCCGGCGGTCTCCCACCTACGGGTCTTCGGCTGCCTCGCGTTCGCCAAGGAGCTTGGCCACATCGGTAAGCTCGACGACAGGAGCACCCCAGGGGTGTTCATCGGCTACGCGGAGGGCTCGAAGGCCTACCGCATCCTCGACCCGGAGACACAGCGTGTGCGCACAGTGCGCGACGTAGTGTTCGACGAAGGGCGAGGGTGGGTATGGGACAAGGCGGTGGATGATGGTTCGACTCCGACGTACGACGACTTCACCGTCGAGTACGTCCACTTCGAGGGAGCTGGGGGAGTAGGCAGCTCTTCTTCACCGAGCGTGTCTACCCCAGTCCCCGAGCCTCCACCGACTCCAACACCAACACACCCTCGGGCCACGACTTCGACTACGACGAGCTCTTCGTCGACACCACCCCAGCCGGTGTCCCCACGCACTCCAGCACCAACAGCCACCCCTCCGGGCACGTCTACTCCGACGCCAGCTCGTGTTGAGCACAGCCCGGTGGAGTTCGTTACTCCGCTCTCCCACGACGGGGAGCGCATCGACGCGTACCACGACGGCGAGCAGCTACGGTACCGTACGATGGAGGATCTTCTCGGCGACCAGCCGGTGCCGGGACTGGTGCCTCGCAACCTGGAGGCGCAGTTGCACCTTGCGTGCGACGACGGTGAGCCTCGGTCTTTTGCAGAGGCCGAGAAACACGCGGCATGGCGTGCCGCGATGCAGTCGGAGATGGACGCGGTTTAGGAGAACCGCACCTGGGAGCTTGCTGACCTCCCTCGTGGTCACCGTGCGATCACCCTTAAGTGGGTGTTCAAGCTGAAGAGGGATGAAGCCGGAGCCATCGTCAAGCACAAGGCTCGCTTGGTGGCACGCGGTTTCGTGCAGCAGGAGGGGATCGACTACGACGATGCCTTCGCTCCCGTGGCACGGATGGATTCCGTGCGACTCCTTCTTGCGCTGGCTGCTCAGGAAGGCTGGGGCGTCCATCACATGGACGTCAAGTCGGCGTTTCTAAACGGCAACTTGAAGGAGGAGGTCTACGTGCACCAGCCGCCGGGATTTGTGATCCCCGGCAAGGAGGGCAAGGTGCTACGCCTGCACAAGGCCCTCTACGGTTTGCGGCAGGCACCGAGGGCGTGGAATGCCAAGTTGGATTCCACGCTCAAGGGGATGGGCTTCGAGCAAAGCCTGCACGAGGCGGCCATCTACCGACGGGGCAATGGAGGAAATGCCTTGCTGGTGGGTGTCTACGTCGACGACTTGGTGATCACCGGCACCAAGGATGCGGAGGTCGCGGCGTTCAAGGAGGAGATGAGAAGGCCACCTTCCAGATGAGTGATCTGGGGCCTCTCTCCTTCTACCTGGGGATCGAAGTGCACTAGGACAACTCCGAGATCACGCTTCGACAGACCGCCTACGCCAAGCGCGTCGTTGAGCTGGCTGGGCTCACCGATTGCAACCCAGCTCTCACTCCGATGGAGGAGAGACTGAAGCTGAGCCGCGACAGCACGGCGGAGGAGGTGGATGCTACACAGTACCGACGTCTTGTGGGGAGCCTTCGCTACCTCACCCACACACGGCCGGACTTGGCCTTCTCCGTCGGCTACGTCAGTCGGTTCATGCAGCGACCGACGACGGAGCACCAGCAGGCTGTGAAGAGGATCATCCGCTACGTTGCGGGGACTCTCGACCACGGTCTCTACTACCCGAGGTGTCCTGGCAAGGCACACTTCGTCGGGTACAGCGACAGCGACCACGCCGGCGACATCGACACCAGCAAGAGCACGAGCGGGATTCTCTTCTTCCTCGGCAAGTGCCTTGTTAGCTGGCAGTCGGTCAAGCAGCAGGTGGTGGCCCTGTCCAGCTGCGAGGCCGAGTACATGGCGGCCTCCGCCGCTTCGACCCAGGCGCTCTGGCTTGCTCGACTGCTTAGTGATCTCCTCGGCAGAGACACTGGAACGGTGGAGCTCAGGGTGGATAGCAAGTCCGTTCTGGCCCTGGCAAAGAACCCCGTTTTTCACGAACGAAGCAAGCACATCCGGGTGAGGTACCACTTCATTCGAAGCTACTTGGAGGAAGGGAGCATCAAGACGAGCTACATCAACACCAAGGACCAGCTTGCGGACTTGCTCACCAAGCCTCTTGGGAGGATCAAGTTCCTCGAGCTCTGCTCCAGGATCGGGATGGCCCAATTTTCCCACAAGACGACGCACAAGACTTAGGGGGAGAATGACGGAATAAGCCTTGTGGTCTTTGGTCCTTGTGGTCCTTCTCTTGCTTTTAGGTTGTTTTTCCCTTTTTAGGACAGCATCATTTCAGTTTTGCTTTTAGCATCTTTCGGTTTTGCTTTTAGCATCCCTAGGACAGCATCTAGCATCTCCTTTATGCTTTATTCAGTTTGGATGCTCTCTAGGACAGCATTGCGTTCAAATTTTAGACTAGTGTGGGCAGCAATTAGCTAGCAGCCATCCAGCCAGCTATGGCTATATATATGTATCCAACCTCCCTCGGGAAGGTATGGCTTTTGTATTTAGTGAATGAAGAAAAACCAGAAAATTGCCCCATCTCGAGTGCCATCCTCTTCTCAATGAGAGTAACCATTGAAATTCTAACAAATTCCATTCAGAAATGAAGTCCATTATAACCATGTGGAAAACACATTAGGAAAAAGAAGTCCATCATAACCATGAGGGAAATTTCCCATCAAATTAGAATTGCAGCAACAAACTGACAATGGTGTCCCTATTCCACAACTGACCTACGCAGATGTTCTTCCAAAACTGAACAAGAAACGATAAGGTCAGTATTGACAGAATTGGGACTGATACACTGTCAACTAAGCAGCAACGCAACTCACAAGACAATATTTCTCATGGATTAGTAAAAGAGTTAGGGAGGACGCACATCGCGCAACAAAACAACGACAAATGGCCAAAACGGTGACCAAGAACCCTTTGATCAAGCCTGGGCATCTAGAGAAGTGATGCACGATGCAAAAGCATCACATCACACCAAGCAATATCAGTGGAAACTTGGCATTGATCTGAAACTTGAGCTTGAGAAGAAGAAACCACTACCCTCAGGCCTCATGACGGAAATGACTGATTCCAAGTCCAAACCGGTCAATCTACAGTTACTGTTCAGACTTTGTAAGTGCTTTTTTTTTTTCTCGCTGATTTTTCTACTCGGTTCAAGGTTAGCTCACTTTTACGAAAACTGAGCTAAGCAAGATTACAACCTCGCGGTTAAAACTAAAGACTAAACTGAGACTCAAAGCTTGCCAAAATATACTGTCTATGCTTCTACCACCACTTCACTCGCAAAATCAAGAAGGAAAAGAAAAAGAAAACAAAAATCACTGACTTGAAAACTTGCAAATATGTTGTCTATGCTTTGTGCCACTGCAGTCACAAATTCACAGGAAAACAATAGCTACAGAACTTGGCAAAGACAGGAAATTAAGTAGGAAAGATCCTTGGAAACTGAAACCCTCTCTCTCTCACTGCTTCAGGCAACGTACCGGTGTGGGTGGCACAGCGGCAGGAGAGCCTCGCGGGCGGGGAAGCGGCGGGCGGCACGCGGCGGCAGGGAGGGCGCCGTCCTCCGGCCGTGACGGCGACGATGGCCATGGCCGGAGCAGTGTAGCAGCAGCGATGGAGATTTGGTGGGTTCGTGGAGGTGACTACTCCAGGAGATAAGGTTTGGGCCTTGGGCCTTGGGCTTTTGGGCCTCAACTTGGATTATCCGTAGTCAAATCGGTCCTTGCTTGATTAGTGTTTTTCCTGTTGTCCCTATAATAATTAAGGGTGTGTTTATTTGGAGGGATATGCTTGGATGGGAGATGACGATACAGTTTTTGAGTGTGTTTGGTTGGTGGGCGAGGGTGGATAGGGTGGCCCGGAGAGGGAATATTCCACGAAGATGCTGGATGAGTGTATCCGGCTAAATTGGCCAGATGAGGATATCCATCTTTGCTAATCTTGATCATTAGTTCTTGATTAGCAATAATTAAATATATTGTTGTTAATTAATAATTAACTTGTCAAAATTAGTATTGGTTAGATATAATTACCCTATTTTATTGTTAATTAGTATAAATTATGGCTATAATAATAATAATTAACATATTTTATTATTAATTAATATGTTATTGTTTTCATTCAATTCATTCTCATCCACCCAACCAAACAAGAAACTGGATGGCCATATCTACTTAACTAAACGAAAATTGGACCACCATATCCCTTAAAATATGGATGGCCATATCCTATCCAGCCTTGACCACGAACCAAACACACCCTAAGTCGATCTATAACACACGAAAAGAAAGAAAACCTGGCTGTATATTTAGGCTGCGTTTTCTTAGGTTGAGTTAACCTCTTACTTACGTAAAACGGAGTGACTTATTAGCGTATGATTAATTAAGTATTATCTAACTTTTTTCCTGGCAAATGGATTAATATGATTTTTTTAAAAAAACAACTTTTGTATATAAAATTTTTAAAAAACGCACCGTTTAGCAGTTTGAAAAGTATGCGCGTGAAGAAAACAGAGGTGAGTTTGGAAAGTTAAAAAAAATTCAGCCTGACAAATTTTTAGTAATTTTATTAGTGCGGGCACAGGCTCGAAATGATGAGACAACACGGTACCGGGGAACTTCGATTAGGTGATGCTCGTCGAGTATCAATACCTCGACTTTAGGCTTAAATTACTAAAAGTTGGCCGGATTAGTCGATTGGATCATGATAATGCACGTGTCCTTTCTTGGAGGTGTTGTTTTTGGAGACTATGTATACGTACTAAGAGTTATTTCGGTTAAGTATGATGATAATAATTTCTTATGTTTATAGTTTATTTGTTGCGGTTTGTCATCTCGTTCTTTTTTTTCCTTTTCTTAATAAGTATAGATTGTGTGCATCTTATTTAGGTAAAGGTCGGAGATGGTCTTGGATAATCGCATTATCTTAATGTAATGGTCCGAGATACATAAACTTCTTTTATTAAAAAAAACTATTCCCTTATTTTTTTTTAATTTGCTTGAAGTAACCAATAGTGTCGTCAAATAAAAAGAAAACGGAGAAGGAGTACTCTAGAATTAAATTAATATTTATATATAAAATTTTGCATATACATACATGTTTTTAAAATATCAACGGAAATATACATTTCTGCGGATTGGGACACGCCATGGATGCATCGCAAAGGCGCAGGACCGACCGGGGGGGGGGGGGGGGGCGGTGTTTGCAATGGCGCATAGCCAACACAGGCGACCGTGTCGGTCACGCGCGCACGCCATCTCGGTGAAGCGATATGTGGTGATCGATCCCGCGTGGCATACTGCCATCATAAAAATATGCTATGCATATTATTTTTAATAAATAAAACTAAATATTAATTTTTTATAATTATTTTAAGAGTAAAGTTAGTTGTGGATGATATATACCTTGCAAAAAAAAACTCATATATATTAATTACCATATCATACACTTCCAACAATATACTCCAAGGATTTATTTTTCTTCCAGGGCTAAGGGTAAAATGGATGTTTTCATAAAAATTAAACGATCAACTACAAGTAACCAAAAGGGTATGAAAGTGATATAACCTAAAAATTCTAAGGAAGTAAGAAAAAGTTGAAGGTATAAAAGGAATTAGCTGAAATTCATGAGCATATGTGAAAACAAAAGGGCTCGCGTGTATCCCAGCTAGCTAGCTATTCATTTGATATTCTAGACCTACGCATTTGCTATGTAGATAGAGTAATTTATTTAGGTGGTTTGGTTTGACTTATATGCAGTGGTGTACTACATAGTAAACAAAATATTCAACTCCTACTAGCTACATAAACAAAACATTCAACCCCAAATTATGTCTTGCTTTTTGACAACATGCTGATGTAAACCACACTAGATTAATATTAATAGTGTTATTACTCCAACATAATAATAATTGATTGATTCCCTAAAGTCGAGTCAAACTGATCTCAGCAAAGCAAAGAAAGTGAAAGATTAATCAGCAAAAAATAAAAGGTATGTTTGCTAGCTAGTAGAGCTCATATGTTGAACACAAATTAAGTCATATGCTAGATCTGCTGTTACCTCCATATATAGAGTACAACAGCAGTTTTTGATATTTTGTTGGAAGCATGCGTGCTTCCTTTCTTCCGTGCCGTTCTTGCTTTCCTGCGTTTCCACTGTTAAACAAATTAAATTCAAACTTATCGTCTAGACAGTGACTAATGTGTACTAATTAATTGAGAATTCATACTGAATTGACAAATGAATGAGTCGGTCTCTTTCTTTTTCATGGTCACTACACTGGGCCTGTTTATTCATTTCAGCTAGTCTAACATAATATAATTGCAGATTATCGATAATGGCACGTACCTTTTCCCAAGCAAATAAGCGGTGTGAATTTTTTTTTAAAAAAAATATCAGCATTTCTTAGGAAACCTTTTCAATTTTGCACTAATATTAATTCACCGGTTTGTGCCCTTAACTAAATAACTAATGGTCATAAACTCAGTTCCATCCATCGTCTCAGCGCACTAGATTATTGGGCCTAGGATGCACGTAGTAAATTAATTCAATTGCATGCATGCATTTAGTTAATTTAATTAGTTCATCCATCAGCACTTGAAATGTGGGTCTCAGGCTATTAATTAACCAACTTAGGATGTATACATATTTAACTAATCTAGTTCCATGCGTGGCAATTAAAGCATGTGTAGTAGATTGAATGAACTTGGTCGTGTGAGTTTTTCTTTTTTTGGTGAGAACTCATGCACTTTATTTACTATTTATAAGCTAGAAGTTGAAAACAAATTAGCATGAGTTACGAATGGACATGGTGGCGTGATAGGTGGTGAGATGGATTATAGTATTAATTACCAACCTTAATTATCTTGTGCATCATGTGTTGCATGCCGTTTAATTTGAACTATATTTATGGTTATAGCCTAGGCTAGCTAACCAATATACGTCAAAAGTTTAGTTCAATTTGTCACCAAGAATCTGATCTGGTTGATTATTAATTTGATCTTTACTGCTTCTCCTAAGATCTTTGTCTCTCATCCATGCGTACTGGTCGGAATTAATTAGTGTCAAACATATAAATACTCCTAATTGACCTAGATTTATTACAAGTTTTAATTTAGTTCAATTTGTCACAAAAGAATCTGGTCTGGTTGATTATTGGGTCGTCGTTTGCTTCTCTTGGGAGAATTCTTGTCTCATCCATACGTGTCGAATATATATTAGTTGCATATTACCTGCCAATTTAGGTTGTTTGTGCCTGGATCAACAGGCTCATGATTTGAATTAAGTCAACAATTTGGATTATGCATTTACGGGTGAATGGGATGATGTTAAAAATATTAATTAGTTATTAATTGATTTCTTGCTTGAGTTTGCACATGTTTTCGTCATGTCAGTCTAATTCGTACATGTCGCAATTCCGTGAGTCGTTCATGCTTTCGTTAATTAATATAAACGAGTCAACGTTAATTACATACCTTGTGATGTCAGAGCTAACTAAATGCGCATGGATAACTCCATCTAATTTTTAATGGATGATATTATTAGGTTTTTCACATAGTTTGATTATCAGTCTTATTTTTAAAAAAATATGAAATATGCAAAAAAAAAGCAATGCTAAAAATATATTCAATTATAAATAAGTAAAAAATAATTATGTTTTTAATAAGATGAATAGTAAAGCGTGTGAAAAAAATCAGCGACGACACTAAAAAACCGAAGATAGTACACTAAAAATTACACTTAATGATCAGTTGGGTTAATTAAAGTATACCATTAAAGTAACAATGTTTTTGAGGTGTCAGGTATCATATATACTTTTGGTGTTAATCCTATATACTTATATAGCTCATCCCCACTAAGTACAGTTATTGATATTTCTCTGTCCTCTCATTAAGTCATATCACCCCTATTATTTCTAACCTTTAGATGATAGATATATGGTTCAAATTGTCTTTTCTTCTTCTCTCGTAACACCATACGATCTCAATTATTTATTTATAGGCTCAAGATTCATAAGTATTAATTTGTTTAATTTTAGTAATCATATTGCATCATATTTGTACATATTATGCAACTTAATTTACCGCAGCAACGTAGCAGGGTATTCATCTAGTTTATTATACATCTCAGTACTTATTTGATGATAAAAAGTTTTTAAATTGTATAATCAATACATCGATCGAACTATTACATAATTAAATTGTTGATCTTTACATAAACTCCCTGCTTCTTAAAAATAATTATCGTTTTAGACAAGAATGATATAAATCTTTAAAAACTTTAACTATGAATAACTAGACTAAAATATTTGCCCTATAAATACGGAGACCATATGCATAGAGAATTATATATTTATTATTAATTTCAAATATATATATATATATATATATATATATATATATATATTATAATAGAAAATATTTCTTCATATTCAGATTTATAGTACTATGATGTGTCACATCTAAATTAATTTATTATGGGATGAAGAAGGAAGTAATAGTAAAAAGTTAATCTTTTAAGATCTTGTCCTTACTTAAAATTACCTTTTTTTTAACGTGGAGGGAGTAGCTAATAACCAGTGGCTCCAGTACTTAACTTCATAATTGAGGTGCAGTTGATGCCATTTTCCCCATGTCCCTATTACTATTACTTACAT